GTTACAGTGATAAATTAGTCAAATAGATTAAAGTGTAATTACAGTAATATAATGGTAGAGTACTACAGGGTAACGACGTGGTAAAGGTAGCTAAGAGATCCAGTAGGGAATAATTATAGTAGTATCGTAGTACAGTAGTAAAGTAATACAACGCACTCTACACTCTTTCCTCGAGCTTCTTCTGCCTCTTCCTCTGCACTCGTTATCTTTAATATGTACATAGTTCCCTCGGCTCATTTTTGGTACATAATGTACCGAGTATTCTTATGTACATACACATAGTATTTTCCGTTGATAAGCAGAAAGAAGTTAACTCAGAAACCCAATCAACGCCATTAGCTATTGTACACTATGCCCCTTCCGTTGGTTTAAAAATTAATCATTTATTGCCGGCAGTTTCGCTTTATTTATATTTTTTGTATTAGTGTACAAACATACTTTTGTGCATATTTCTTATAAATTCCATTTGCCTGAGAATCCAAATAATAATCATAGCAACAGAAAATAGACAGCAGAAAGTGACACCTAAAAAATAAATATTTAAAATATATATATATATGTATAAAAAACGGAAACGAAATGATTTATTCCACCAGATGCGGTAATGCTTTGTTTTTGCTTCTTTGTCTGGTATTTTGGCAATTTTCGGTTTTGTTTTGTTTTGTTTCGTGTTGTTCTCTGACCGCTATGTATTTTTATAAATTTTTGATAGGCAGAAAAACGGTTTAGAGACAAAGTCGATTACCTCATATGAAATATTAGAGATGTTGACACAGCAACAAAAAAAAAAATTAAGAAAGAAAAACGCAGGTTTATTTATTTAATTTTTTCTTTTTTTGCTCGCTGGTTGCAAGCTCCTTGTCTGGCTTCTCGCTGAAATGCCCCGCCTAGCCGTAATTGTATCTTACTGTGTTTATGCGAAGTCGTCGAATTTGTTCAAGAATTTCGAGTTCGGTCACTCTTTTTTATATGTATAAGTTTGTAACGCCGAATGGATAGGTGGCACAAAGTAAGTCATTCAAAGATAGTGATCCTTTTCAATTGGATTAATAGACCATTTCCATCTCTTGTGTACCAATTACAAAACAGCTGACTAGAAATAGTATAAATAGCTGTAGCTCTCAGTAACTCTTACTTCTAGATTTTTATCAAAAAATAAATAATATTAGGGGTTCCTGTGCGGGCATTGTGCTTTTCGTTCGACTTTCTTGGCCTTTTATTACTATTTCATTTGTGCGCGACGCTGCCGCAGCTGACGTCGCTGTCGTGTCCGCTGGCGCTGTCGCTGTCAGCGTCGCCGCTTTGACGATTTGCGCTTCGCGTTGCGCTTACTCACAATCAAATCTCACGCCGCATTTTTAGTCTCAATAATAACTGAAACGAAAAACACGCGCAGCCGAAACGAAGCGCAAACCAAAAAAAAAAAAAAAAGAAAAAACGCAAAAAGCGAAGAACGGAAAGAAAACGGGGGAAAAAAACAAAAGAGAAGTAAAAACGCAAAGCGAAATCGACGATACATCGCGTCAGTTGCTTTTTATTTATTACGGCACTCTTTCGTCCGATTTTTTTTCCTAGTGTGAGTGTGTTTATTGTTTTTGCATTTTGCGTTTGCACAAATAGTAAATTAAACTGTTTTCAAAGTGTGAACGAGTGGTGGCGAGAGAGGTAGAGCAAACTCGTTCGTCGTCACTCGCTGCATTTTTTGTTGTCGTGGGTCGTCGTCTCTGTTTTCCACTGACTGGGTCGCTCTCTTTCACTCTCCTGCTACACCCCTCGCTCCCGCTCACCCACTCCCGCGTCATCTCTTGTCGTCATTCTGGCTGTTTTTTTTTTTCTTGTTCAGCATAAGCAGACGCCGTCAATGTCTCGCGACTAAAGTATAGGTGCTGCTCTCATAGCTGTTTTCCCGCCAAATCTGGCTTTATTATGGTCAGCAGGTGAAAATTCGATCAAATCAATAAAATCAGCTTTAATCACATAGTTACAGAATTATGTGTTTTTCTTTTATTTTGGATAGAATCCATGATGCAGTAAAGAAAATGTATTCATAATTTTAACTAATGTCATTAAAATACAAGTTAAATAGTAAATTCGCTAAGTTGTATTGCGAATAATGTTTATCGTTCTGTCCTTCAATTAGCTTTTACATAAGACCAAAGGCAAATTGGCTACTTATGACCCCTACGTACATACATATGTACATATGTACGAATATCAAGTGTAGCTATTTTTACAAGTTGGCAACACTTATTGTGTTTATGTGAGCGCAAATTCATGCATTTAATACATGGTAAAACTTATTCGATTGAAATTGGTGATGATGTGCAGATGAAGAAGGACACAAGTAACTTTATATCTCTGTTAATATGAATTCAAGAAGTCGCAAGTATCGGATAAACAGGGGACTTCAAGAATTCTCGTATTCCACAGCGTAATCATAGTAACTGTGTCGTTGGTGGTTCATGTTTTGCTCTTTGTTTCTTATGCTGCAGTTTCTATTCGTCGTCTTTCGTTCCTCTGTTCCTTGCTCTTGCCATGCTATTCTTTTTTTTTTGCCATTGTTTTGTTTTAGCATTCGTAGCATGTTAATTTGTTGTTTCTGGTTCTCTGTGCTTTTCGTGGGCTTCTATTTTATTTTTCTCGGTGTGTGTTTTGTTGTGTGCCTTTTACTCTCAGTTCGTTATCAAAAGGGAAACAACAACCACAGCTAAAGCAAACGACATACAGAGAGAAACCGATAAACGTCAAAAGCTGCCGCTTATTTGAGACATTTTGCTTTTCGCATCTCTAAAAGCTTTATACATTTTAATTAGTTTTGTGTTTACCCTCCTCCTTCGAGTTCTTTTACCTCTCCTCTTTCTCTTTTCCTCTTGGCCCATTTTGTTCTAATACATTATGAGATTTGTTTAGAAATTCTTATAGGAATAGGCTACGAATTAAAGTCCAATTAGGGGACATCTTTTTTCGAAGGGAAATAAAAGAAAACCCCAACGAAGGAATCTTGTTTGGTATTTCAAGCTTTAATTTAGTTTTTCCTATTTTTGGCTGACCTAGTTGACCGAAATCGCAAAAAAATACTTTAAGATTTAGCTATTTAAGATTTTCGATAGGAAAAGATATTGTATTTATGTATATGTACATATGTATGTACATACATACATAGTATGTATGTTTATATGTACGTATTTTTTCTTGTTTTCTTTGCCTGTTTGTAGATTTCTTTCTCTTCTTTATTATTCTCCTTGTCTTAATCTCTCCCGCGGTCGCTGTTTTTTAGTATGTATGTATGTATGTATACATATATTACATTAATAATACCTTAATTTGAAGTGGAAACTCGAAATCATGTCTGTACAGGACTGGTCGGCCAACTCACATACGAATATTGCATTTGTTTTTACCATTAGTGGGCAGATATTAGAAAAAATGGCCAAACACTCTTTGGTATACATATATTTAAGTACATACATATGTATGTATGTAAATATACATCAACAAAAATTTAAATCTAATTCATCGCGAACGATGCTCCACTGTGTAGATCCGTGTGCACATCTGACGATTATATGGGTGTTGTGTGTGTTGATTGACTCAACTTGACAACGGCGACACACGCGCGCCCGCCCAATTCACAAAACTTTGTTTTATACATTGAATCTTCTTTCTTTTTTTTTTATTTGTTATGCTGCGCGATTACGTCAGCTAACATTCGGTTTTCGTTTTTTTTTTTTTTTTTTTTTTGGGGACTTGGGAAAGCATACATACATATGTATGTATGTATTAACATACATTGTATGTATGCCCGAGCACACCAACTCACTATTTAGTAGTATGCAAAACAAAACAAAAATAATAATGACAACAAAAACAAAAAACAAATAGGTAGAGGCAATGTGTAGAAAAAGTTAATCATTTGGCACTTGCATTTGTTGTTGGCCTGTTTCGGGTGAAAGTTGCACAGATCAAATGGAGGAAAAATCGACGACTACGAATCGCAAAAAAAAGTGCAACATAAACTGAACTCATCCGTTAAAAACACAAAAAAATAAATTAATTAAAGACGAGACCAGTGAAAATTGCAGGCCCGAAGTTAATTGATTTTCATGTCTGTTTTTAAAAACTGAAAACCCAAATATGCAAAAGTGAGTATATAACATATGTCAGTACATACATATGTATGTATATATGTACGTAAACATGCATAATATGTATATAAAATCATACACTTACATACATACATACATACATAGCATTTTATTTGCGTCTTGAATTTCATTTCGTTTTATTTACGCCTTGTTGATATTTGCATCGTGTTCATATGTATGTACATATGTACATACATACATACACCGCTACTAATTTGTATTTTAAACCAAATTTAATTTTCACAAATGGCTTCAATTCGAAAAAGTTCGTGCCTTATTCCTTCTTCATTTCCTCTTGCTCCATCGCCTGTCATTGGCATGGCAAACCGTTAGCTTACGTACTATCGGGGAAACAACGACACAATCGCACACTCCTAGTGCCATATCTTTCCCCCTTTCAAATCATTACACCAGCCGTCAAATAAATTGGAAATACCTATACATGTTTGGTAAATAGGTCTGTATAAATCAGGGATATTACAAATTGCATTCGGTTTACATATATCTATGGAAATACAAAAAATAATAATAATAATAAAATTATCAGTAAAAATACTTATCGTAAGAGCTTAGTATAATAACGCTCTTGAAAATTCAAACAAATTTAAGGCAAAAGCAACAAACACAGTAAGAAAATGCAGTGAGAAATGTGCAAGCTTTCTAACGTCGCAGTCACTAGGAACAGAGGCAGCGCAGTCGACGGCCTTGCCAACAAGAACAGACGCGAAGTATCGCGAAGCGTGTAGTGCGTTGAGGGGTAGACAAAGAGGAGAAAGAAGTGAAAAAGAGGAGAGCGGAGGAGCAGTAGCCGAGCCGCGAAGCAAAGAGAGCAGCTGTCGGCTCTCGCCCTCTCAGAGCATTTGGTGTGCAGACGCGGTGGTGTCGGTGTCGTTTTGGTTTTGTCGGCGGTTGCTAAACACAATTTAAGTTCACTCGGTTAGCAGACATTACAAACACATCTATACGCATACGCAATGTGGTGCACAGACATACGGACAAGTACTGGCCAGAAGAATCCAGAAAAAAAGCCACAAAATACACCCATCGAACGTTCGTTGAGTCGCGTTCAGTTTATTTTATTCGTGCTGTGCTTGTGATCTGTGTTTGTCTGTGTGTGTGTGGATTGGATTTGCCAATTTTAGTCGACTGGCTCTCAGTTTCGAACTTAAACTTAAAGAGCGAGCAACGTGACGTGTCGCTGAAATTCGCGCACAACTTCCTACAAAAAGAAATCGGCAAAAAAAACCGAAACTTGTTTTTTTTTTTAATTTGTTTTTTTTTATTGTGCATCCTTCAATGTATGTGTATGTGTGCGTGTGAGTGCGAAAATACAAAGCAAGAAAAGAGAGGGAGAGCGCCGGCTAAGCGAGAGAGAGAGCAGCTGATTTTCGCCGGCAAGTGTAAGTGTGTCAGCTGTTTCTCAAGCCCTCTCTATTAACAGAGCGTCAGAGAGAGAGAGAGAGAGAGAGAGAGATGGAGCGTTAGTTCCGAGCGAACATGTTATGTCTTTAACGCCGTCTCCTTGTGCTGCATTTGCTTTAGTAATGCAAGAACAACAAATGCAGCCGTCAAGCCTGCAAATACAAGAAATACAAATGCAAAGACAACAGATCGAAATAAAAAATATTCAGCAACAACATCAACGGTGGAGGATTGAAGAAGAACCGCCGCAAATACAACAAACAATTCAACGAATACCACAAATACAGCAGATACAACGTATGCTAAACATATCATCAGCACGGCAGGAAATATTACCAGCGAAGCTTGAACAAATACCGGAAGAATTAGTGCAAATATCGCAGAAAGCATTAAAAAAACAACAAGAGACAACAGCAACAATTATACACCAAATAACAGAATTTAAACCATTTCAAAAAAGTCCTATAAAACAACAAGAAAAACAGCAGCAAACAAAAATACCAAGAAAACGGAGTGCAACGATAACCACGACGACGGCAGCAACGGGCAGCAATAGCAGCAGTAGTTGCAACAACAACAGCAACAGCGGAGGCTACATAATGTTAGCCTCTGCCGGCGCCTCTGCCGCCGCCGCTCGCAAACGCAGTCGCAGCGCCAGCAACGGTAGCAAACGCAACACTGGCGGCGGCCGCAAATTAACGAAGAGCGTGAGTTATTTTTTTTTATTTCCTTTGTTCTGTTCCTCTCTCTGTTTACATTAAGCGGTTTCGCCTGCACGTGCTAGTTTCAAAAAGAGTGAGAGCGGAGAGTGCTGTGCGCCCAGTCTAAGATACTGCGGCCGCGACGTCTGCGTTAACAGAAATTGGGCAACATAACACAAAATGTTAATGTTAACCCAATGGATTTGAACCAAATTAAGCATGGGGAGCGTGTAAAATTAAATTAAAAACGGTAATGAGAACAAATATAGAAACTCGGAAGTGAAAACTAAAAGATGCTGAAAATACGAAAACTTTTGAATTTTAAAAGAAACTAATCTACAAATGTTAATATCTGCGGGTCGCAAATGTTTATTAGCGCTAGTGGGGGATACGTGTAAGCTACCATAGTTAGAATGCACGTAGAGCTAAATTCGAATAAAACAAAATTGAGTCGATCTCCAGAACAGATAATATTTATATTATTTAACATACATAAGAATTTTTGTACATATGCCCACCATTAAATAAACAACAGGGAGAAGGGGCAGATGAACCGTTTCATATTTTATTCATTCATTTTTCGAAGCGAACCAGATGTTGTAGTTGCAAGGTTCTCTAACGCTCTCTCTCTCCGTAATTCTCTCTCGCGCTCTCACATCTTCGTTATCGTGCCAACTTCGTTTCACTTCGGCTTCGGATTCGTTTCTAAAAATAAAACAGCGTGTGGTTGCATGCATGTATGTGTGTTGCTGTATTTATTTGTCTGTGGGCAAAAGGCAATGAAAACGAAAATTTGCGTGACGTCTCTCGACCTTGACTCATCGACGTGAACTGTTAAACTGCGCCAGCAGAGGCAGAAGCAGCGCACACCAGCAGCGGCAACGCGACGTCGAGCCGAGTTGTGGTTCGATGTGTGTTTTGTTTGTTTCTTTTATTTGTCCGAGCTCGCGCTCAGCTTTTTGTTTTTGTTTGATTTTTCTTTATTTCTGTCTCTTGGATTTGAAGTCAACGTCTCTTGCAAACAAGTTTCAAAAACACACATACACAGAATTACAAACATAGATGATTAAATATACATGTTCATGAGTACTTGCATACATATACACATTTTATGTTCATACGTAATTGAGTTATCAAAAAAAACGAGCAAAATAAATAAATTAAAATAAATAAAAAGTGATAATAAATAAATAATTAAATAAAATTAAAAAAAATAAATAAGACACAAAATAAATTTACAAAAAGAATAACTAATCATTGTTTCAAACGAGAAACTCCTAGTTTCTACGTTTAATAAGCTTCCTTATTTTACTGTAAATTGACAATGATGTTTATATAGCTCTCAACTTTCTTGTTGAAAACGTAAAGTTATAAATTTATTTGAAATACATTACCAACATATAATTTAAATTTTAAACAATCTTGTTTGAACTATTGCTATTTCAATCAAATTCTGCTATTTCAAATATTGCTATTTCAATAAAGTTCCACTGTAAGCGCTGGACCAACAAAAAAATAACTAAAAAAGCTCGCACCAGAAAAATTAAAAAAAAAAAAGCACTGCAATGGAATGTTCCATCTCTTCTGGGCTTCTCTCTCCCGCTAGGTTCTCTCACTCTCGCAGATTTCCTCTCAATAAGAAATGCATGCGTAATGCATACGAGTTCCGTTGGGTTTAGTGCCACACCCACACAGCGGCGCCTCTACATCGCCCCTGCCGCACTGCCCATAATGCCATTCCATTTCATTCCATCTCGGTCCGAATTTCAATTCCAAGCAACAACAATTGTATGTGTGTGTGCTCCTCTGCTCTTTTCGCATGCCCGTCTCCCTCCTTCGCCCGTTACCATTCGCCTTCTGCCTTGCTCTGCTTCTCCCTTTCGCACTGCTGCAACAGCAGCAGCATAATCATCATCATAGATTTATCTCATTCACGCGCACGTGAGGCAAGGCCCAAAAATTAAGTCGTCGTCGTCGTAGTTTGTCGCTTTTCGTTTTGCGCTTCTCACTATTCATCTTGCTCCTCTTATTGCCCCTACCATACCCTCGTTCATACGTTCACTTGGTGTGGCGGTTTGTTATCATCAGCTCATTTCATTGTCTGGCCTTTCGTTCGTCTCTCGGTTTCTTCCTATCCCTATCCCCCTGTCGTCTTTGCCGACTCTGTTTGTCCTCTTCTCCTCCCTTGTCGCTTTCACAGTATTCGCTGTTGCCAATTTTCGTGTTTCGCTGGCCGTTACAATTTTCATGCTTTGCCCATGTTTGGCAACACTCTTCCTTCACCTCGATTTTTCTTTTCCTTTCGGTGTCTGCTTTTCCTTTATTTGTAATCCAGCGGGAAGGGAGTAAACAGCGATCATGCGACAGCTGTTGTCCAAATAGAAAAGGTGAACAAGAAATAGGGAGACACGGGGGAATAGGAACCAGGAACCAGGGAATAAGGAAGTACACTACAACAAATGTTTGAAAATAAAAAGAAATACATTTTTTTTAAATAACTAAGTAAAAAATAAAAATATGTACTATGAAGCGAAAAGTCTCCAAAAGTGGCGTTCTTTTTAATTCTATCGTGTCAGAAGTACCATACACAATGCACATTATTTTCTATGCTGTGTGTTTTTGCTAACATTAACAGCCCATTGTATTGCATATCTGCTACGTTCATCCCCATTCCACTCGAAAAGTAATAGTTTATTTATTTTTTTTTTTTTTTATATATATGTATATATATTTTAAATTTTTTCTAAAATATATTTTTTAAATATATAAATTTTGTTTTTTTCTTGTATTATTTTTTTTTTTAAGCTGAGTTTTCGTTAAGCTTTTATAACTATTATTATTTTTTTTAATCATTTTGGCAACTTGGTCGCCGTGATGTTTTTGTTGCCCTTGTGCGTTTGTTGCGACAATGGCGCCCTCTGCCGGCGGCGTCGTTGCTCGCGAATTGACAAAGACGCCGGCTGGCTCTTTCTCTCTTTGCCAGCAGCTGCTTTCCATTCCGTTTTGGATTGGAAGTTCGATGGATGGATAGAGGCTGGCAGCAAAAGAAAAAAGCTGCAGCGTTCCGCTGGCAGCGACGCCAGCAGAGCAGCAGCAACAACTTGGCGCATTTTTTTAAATTCTAGGTTTAATTAAATAAAATACATTTGTATATAATTAACATCAACAAAAAAAAAAAATTACAGCAAAATATTTTTTGTATTTTAAGTTTCATTTTAGTTTTATTTATTTATTTTTATTTTATTTTTTTTTTTGCAAATAAGCGAATAGTTATACTCGCTCTTCTCTTGCTCCTACTTCTTACTCGCTGTTCCGCTCTCGCCCTCTACGCTCTCACTTAAAATGAGCCGCTCGCTCACCACTCTTCTTCTGCTTGCTTGCTTACACTCTCTCTCTGTCTCTTCCTCTGTGTGTTTGCACCTTCTTCTTTCTTTCGCTCCGCTTACCATTTTACAAACACACACGCGCACGATGAGAGCGACTGCAAAAAAATCGGAATAAAACGGTTATAATATATGTATATATTTACATATATTTACATCTTTATGTAGTAAAATATTAAGAAGATTACTTAACAATAACAAAAATGTGAAAATAAGTGCAAAATTACGAAAGAAATAAACCGAAAAAGCAATAAATGTGATAAAACTGTAATAGAATGTGAAAAGCCAAATACATATACACTCACCCATACATTTATACATATACACACAAGAGCACGCGGCCACGTATGTGTGTGCAGAAAAATATGCGGCGCTTAAAAAAGGTGAACGGCATTTTGTGAATATACAAATAAAAAAATAAAAATAAAAAATACAATTCGAAAAGCTTTAAGTTTAATAAATGAAAAATATGTGTAGCAATTAGAGTGCAAATCCAAAAAGCAAATCATGTTAGGTAGCCATTTTCATTTCAACCTAAATTGTTAATTTTTTTTTTTTTTTTTGTATTTTTGTTTCTTGTTGGTTTTCATTGTCTTTACATTGTGCTTTTTGATAAAACATTACACACACACACACACACACACAATCGGCTGCATTCGCTTGCTCTTTCTCTCTCCGTTTGTCGCAATCCTTCTCACGCAAACGCATGCCTTTCGTCTCGTTCGCACTCTCGCGCACACACATATTTTGCACATTCTCTTTTGGTTTCGCCGTTGCTGCTGCCACCGCCCCTGGGTTGCCACCTAGTTGCAATGCTAAATCCCGCGAATGTGGCAGCTCTCTCTCGCTCTCAGACAAAATGGGCGAAAGATGAGAGAGAAAAAAAACTGTTAAAGAAGCAGCGGAGCAAAACAAAAGCGGCGGCAGTGTTGCCAAGTGCACAAAACGAACAGAGAGAAGAATGAATGAAGAAAGTAGAAAGAGTGAAGTGATAAGCAGTATACAAATTTTAAAATCTAATTTTAAAAATCTAAATTTTTTTAAATGGTGTTAATATTACATTTATAAATAGAGAATAAGAGACGTGAATGCAAATATAAAAAATATTAGAACGATTGCAATTTGAAAATAAATTTGAATTTAGCTTTCCCATATCTTTACTATTTAAATATACATACATAGGTCCAGTTTCAGTTTATTGTGAAATATTCATTCATATTGTAAAGCAATGACATCAATGTCACAACTAATAAAATAAGCATTAAAATAATTCAGAGTATTGGTGAGAAGTATTTAAGGCCTTTAGCTTAATATTTATGCACTACAGCAGTCGACTAACTTACTCGTATTTTTATTAATTGCAGATGTCCGCCGGTGCTCAGTTGCAGATGGCCCCGCAGACTACTTCGGCCCTAAGTCACCACCATCCTAACCAGCAGCAACAGCAGCAGCTGCAGCCACCTCAGCAGCAGCAGGCCCCGCCCCCGCAGCAGCAGCAACAACAGCAGCATTTTGCGAATCATCACAACGCCCAACAGCAGCAGCAACAGGAGCAGCCGAATCCACAGCAGATCCTTGCTCAGCAGCATCTGCAGCACCTGCACAAGCATCCACACCAGCTGCAGCAACTGCATCAACAGCAGCACTTCCACCAGCAGCAGCAGTCGCTGCAGGGACTGCACCAGGGTAGCAGTAATCCGGATTCGAATATGAGCACTGGCTCCTCGCACAGCGAGAAGGATGTCAACGATATGCTGAGTGCTGCCGGAGCTACGCCAGGAGCAGGAGCTGCCCTTCAGCAGCAGCAACAGCAGCAACAACAACATCCCGCCTTTCCACCCACATTGGGTATGCAACAACCGCCGCCGCCACCACCCCCGCAGCACTCAAACAATGGAGGCGTATCCGCGGAGATGAGCTACATGACGGCAGCCAGCACAACGACGACGTCTGTGGCGGCAGTCGGCAAGCCACGCACTCCGGCGGAACGGAAACGGAAACGGAAAATGCCTCACACCGCTGATGAGGCGGGGAGCGGCGGAGGCTCCGGAGGTGGAGGTGGCAGCGGTGGGATCGCAGGAGGCGGCGGCACTGGATCCGGAGGAGTTAACAACTGTAGCCTGAAGGGCAAATCCCTAGCCTTTCGTGATATGCCCAAGGTGAACATGAGCCTGGGTCTGGGAGATCGCCTTGGCGGTTCAGCAAGCGGCGGAGGAGGCGGAGCTGGTGGTGGAGGAGCCGGCAGCGGAGGAAGTGGAGCTGGATCCGGGTCTGGCAGTGGTGGCGGCAAAAATGCCCGCTTGATGCCCGGCAGCGACAACAAGAAAATCAACGACTACTTCAACAAACAGCAGCCTGGCGTTGGTGTCAGCGTCGGCGTCGCCGGCAGTGGGGGCGGGAACTCAGCCGGTATCCGGGGATCCCACACGGGCGGCGGCAGCAAGTCACCGTCATCCGCCCAGCAACAGCAGCAAACAACGCAACAGGCGACGGGTGTGACGGCGGGTGGCGGCGTCGGCGTTGTTACCGGAGGAGCTGCTGGCAACCAAGTGCAAGTGCAGACCAGCAGCGCCTATCTGTATCCACCAGCTAGTCCCCAAACACAGACGCCGCAGCAGCAGCAGCAAGCTGGAGCCTCCGACTTCCACTACGTCAACTCCAGCAAGGCGCAGCAGCAGCAGCAACAGCAGCAGCAACGTCAGCAGCAGCAACAGACTTCCAATCAAATGGTTCCTCCACACGTGGTCGTGGGCATGGGTCATCCCCTTAGTCTCGCTTCCATCCAGCAGCAGCAGCAGACGCCGCAGCAGCAACAGCAACAGCAGCAGCAGCAACTAGGACCGCCGACCACGTCAACGGCCACCGTTGTTCCAACGCATTCGCACCAGCTCGGTTCCCTCGGCGTTGTCGGGATGGTTGGTGTTGGCGTAAATGTGGGCGTAGGTGTCGGCGTAAATGTGGGTGTTGGACCACCACTTCCACCGCCACCGCCCATGGCCATGCCAGCTACCATCATAACGTATAGCAAGGCCACACAGACGGAGGTGTCGTTGCACGAACTGCAGGAACGTGAGGCGGAACACGAGTCCGGCAAGGTGAAGCTGGACGAGATGACGCGGCTGTCCGACGAGCAGAAATGTCAAATAGTTGGCAATCAGAAGACGATCGACCAGCACAAGTCGCATATCGCGAAGTGCATCGATGTTGTTAAAAAGCTGCTGAAGGAGAAGAGCAGTATCGAGAAAAAGGAAGCGCGACAAAAATGCATGCAGAATCGCCTACGCCTTGGCCAGTTTGTGACACAGCGGGTGGGCGCCACATTCCAGGTGAGATACTAGTTTGATTTTTAATCTATAAAATATAGAAAACTACATATGCATATGCAATAATAACATATTAATCGAATCGTTAATTCTGCAGGAGAACTGGACGGACGGATATGCGTTCCAGGAGCTGAGCCGGCGACAGGAGGAGATCACCGCTGAACGCGAGGAGATCGATCGGCAAAAGAAGCAGCTAATGAAGAAGCGCCCAGCGGAGTCTGGACGTAAGCGCAACAACAATAGCAACCAGAACAACCAGCAGCAGCAGCAACAACAGCAACACCAGCAGCAGCAGCAACAACAAAATTCCAACTCGAACGATTCCTCGCAGCTAACCGGCGGTGTTGTTGTCAGCGGACCGGGCAGTGATCGCCTGGGTGGCGCTGGAGCCGGCGGCGGTGTCAGCGTTGATAGCGGCATCGGTGGCAATAATGCTGGCGGAATCGTTGGAGGCGGCGTTGGCGGCGGTGGCGTCGGCGGCGTTGGCAGTGCCGGTGTAGGAGGTGTTGGTGGCGGCGGCGGCGGTGGTGGCGGCGGCCGCGGTTTATCGCGTTCCAACTCGACGCAGGCCAATCAGGCTCAGTTGCTGCATAATGGCGGTGGAGGATCAGGTGGTAATGTTGGCAATTCCGGCGGTGTTGGCGATCGACTCTCGGATAGAGGAGGTGGTGGCGGAGGCGGCGGTAATGATAGCGGCAGCTGCTCGGACTCTGGCACCTTCCTCAAGCCGGACCCCGTATCGGGGGCATACACAGCGCAGGAGTACTACGAGTATGACGAGATCCTCAAGTTGCGCCAAAACGCACTGAAGAAGGAGGATGCCGACCTGCAGCTGGAGATGGAGAAGCTGGAGCGAGAGCGCAACCTGCATATCCGAGAGCTCAAGCGGATACTCAACGAGGATCAGGTGGGCATCATCGATTCCAAGCCTTAAAAGAGAAAGAATCAATCGTGGAATTACTTTCTTTATAACAAAAATGTTTCCCTTTGCATTGTGATTTCTTTCAGTCTCGCTTCAACAATCATCCCGTGCTGAACGAACGCTATCTTCTGCTGATGCTGCTGGGCAAGGGCGGCTTCTCCGAGGTGCACAAGGCCTTCGACCTCAAGGAGCAACGCTATGTCGCATGTAAGGTGCACCAATTAAACAAGGATTGGAAGGAGGATAAGAAAGCTAATTATATCAAGTGAGTAGTGGCGAGGCGAACGGAGAGGAAAAGATCGAGGAGTTTAGGAAAATTTGAACAAATATTAATTGGGAAAGGGAGCTTAGCTGAGCTGAGCTGTATTCTGGCTATCAAGTTGAGAAGTAACAAACAGAAAGACAATTAGCTTTTAGGCAAAAATACAAAAAACTTGAGGGTGTGGTGTGGGCCTCGCTCTTCTCTATTGCAATAAGCCCCACTAATAACCACACTTTACCTTTGAAACCATCCCCACTAATCCCAACCAGACATGCCTTGCGGGAATACAACATCCATAAAGCGTTGGATCATCCGCGGGTCGTCAAGCTCTACGATGTCTTTGAGATTGATGCAAACTCGTTTTGCACGGTGCTCGAGTATTGTGATGGCCATGATTTGGACTTTTATTTGAAGCAACATAAGACTATACCCGAGCGTGAAGCGCGCTCGATAATAATGCAGGTGAGTGTCGTTGCGAGGCATGTCAAATAATTAATTTATGAATTTGTTAATTCATTAACTCATAAACTCAATTCCTTCTTGCTTGCCTCAGGTTGTATCTGCTCTCAAGTATCTGAATGAGATTAAGCCGCCAGTTATCCATTACGATCTGAAGCCCGGCAACATACTGCTGACCGAGGGCAATGTCTGTGGCGAAATCAAGATCACCGATTTTGGTCTGTCCAAGGTGATGGACGATGAGAATTACAATCCCGATCACGGCATGGATCTAACCTCTCAGGGAGCGGGCACCTACTGGTGTGTATATAATACTTGCTTTCTTGTAATATCTTTTCTTATGTTTGAATTACATTTCGTTTTTAGGTATCTGCCGCCCGAGTGCTTTGTTGTGGGCAAGAATCCGCCAAAGATCTCCTCCAAAGTGGACGTTTGGAGTGTCGGTGTCATCTTTTACCAATGCCTGTACGGTAAGAAGCCCTTCGGCCATAATCAGTCGCAGGCCACGATTCTCGAGGAGAACACCATCCTCAAGGCCACCGAAGTGCAGTTCTCCAACAAGCCAACCGTCTCCAACGAGGCCAAGGTGGGTAGTGATTACATTACATTGGGACTTTAAAGTTGTAAAGCTTTATTATTTACTTTCGCCCGTCCAGAGTTTCATTCGAGGCTGCTTGGCCTATCGCAAGGAGGATCGCATGGATGTGTTTGCGCTGGCCAGGCACGAGTATATCCAGCCACCGATACCCAAGCATGGGCGCGGATCGCTAAATCAACAGCAGCAGCAGGCACAGCAGCAACAGCAACAGCAGCAGCAGCAACAGCAACAGCAGCAACAACAACAACAGTCGTCGACATCGCAGGCCAATTCCACGGGCCAGACATCGTTCTCTGCCCACATGTTTGGCAATATGAATCAATCGAGTTCGTCCTAGCTGCCAACCAAGCGCAATTCCAATTCATAATTCGCAGCAGCAGGAGGAAAACTAGCTGCCAGTCAACAACAGCAACAAAAACAGAAGCAGCAACATCAGTTGCAGCATTTGCAACACTTGGAACTCCAGCAACTTCATCAACTTCAGCAACAGCAGGAGCAGCAGCAGCAACTTCAGTTGCACAACAGCAGCAGCAATTATGCAACAACAACAACGTTGCTGGATGCAGCAGCGGCATATTGCTATGAAACTGTGATGGATGGAGCCGTCGTGCACTATAACAATAATAATAGCACTATTATTAACAACAATATTATGCTGCAGACAATGACAATGACAACGGGTGCTGTAGCTGCAGGAGCTGGAGGAGGTAGAGTGGTCGGAGATGCAACAACTCCAACCTATCAGGGCAAATACAAGCGCTGGCAGCAACAACAGCTGCAACAACAGGCGCAACTCCAGCAGCAGCAACACAAGTTGCTGTTGCAACAGGAGCTGCTGTAATGTTTTGAACTCTGATGCTAGGAAATTGAGGAGGAACTGGAGCTGTGGAGATGCGAAGAACACGGGAGGATATAAGACGACGCTGTCTGCGCAACACTGCCGCGAAAGCCAAGCTAATGTTGGTGCTGCTACGGCGACAGCAACAGTAGCAGCAGCAACAAATTCAAACGCGAAAAAGAACAGCAGCAAAAACGAACACCAAGAGAATTTCCATTGCGTGTCGCAAACCAACAAAGGAAAATAAAAACAACTTAAATTAAAGAAACTATATAATAAATATATAATAAATATATATATATGCGTATATATATATATATATATTAAATGTGATAAACAGCGTAAAGCAAAAAAAAAAAAAAAAAAAAGCAGCAGCAAATACAGCCGGAGAAAGTGGAAGAAGAAGCAGATGGAGAGTAGGAAGCTAAGCTGGCAAGAAGCTGCAAAAAGAAAAGAAAGAAAAGAGAGAAAAATCCGGAAAAATCTGAATAAAGAAGAGAATAAAATCACACAGGAGGAGAAGGAGAAGAAAGCTTGAGAAATTGTTTATAAAGGCTGCTATATAAACACACTTTTTTTGTTAACTATAAAATACCAAGCAGAATAATTATATATATATATATATATATATAAAATTATTAATAATTAAATCCTAAATGTAAATTAGTTATTAGGTGGCATCTAAACACAAAAAATAACAAAAAAAAAGGCAAACGCAAAACGATTCCCAAGAGAGCTGAGCAGAAACAAAGAGCAAGTGTGAGGGCGAGTAAGAACTAGAGAAGAGAGAGAGAAAGAAGTCGCGCGCGTGACAGAAACTTTTCTTTGTAAAAAATATAGAAAATTAGCGTAGGCTAAAAAGCATACAGTATATATATATAAAAAAAAAAAACAACAAAGCAGACAGCTGAAAACCAACCGGTAAAAAATATAGAAAAGAAAGAGAAGAAGATAGGGGAAACGCAAATTACAAAAATTCAGTCAGTTTCAATGTTTTTTTTTTTTGTGTTTGCACGCACTCAAACACCTTATAACAAAATTGTATATTTTTTTTTTTATCAATATCTCGGAATATTCTACAACACTTTTACATTACGATACACATGTATCTCTTAATTATTTTCCAAACGCAAATGCTTGTTTTTTATTCATTCAATTCGGATAAGTTCTTCGAGACGGAAGTTCCATGGAGTGGAAAGTAATTATTTTGGCGCTTGTTTTGTATCAAAATCCCCAAAATTAACCTTGATTTAAATATCAAAAATCCAGAACCATCACACGTCCGTGCACACACATACATATACATTTGTAGATACTCGTAGTCTTGAACAACAAACAAATATGCCACAAAATGCACTTTGATGAAATATCCGCTAGACAAGGGAGTGAGAGAGAAGTACAGAAAATCAATCAGATGAGATAAAAGCCAGACACAATAGGAAAATCAATGCCACGCAACAACAACAACAACAACAAAGAAGAGAGAACGAGGTAGAGCTGCGCGCAAGGGAATGGAGAGGCAGGACACAGAGAAGGAGAAAAGAGTGATTCTTGCGTCAGATTAGTAAAGAAAGCCCCCATGTTGAAGTAGTCGTACTTCGAAATATATTTCATAATATTAACTAATGTAATAGTTTTTATTAAAATTATAAATATATATATATATATATGTATGTATGTATGTATGTATGGAACATCATATATATATATAAATACATGTTTTTTTTTTTTTTAATTTTAAACAATATTTGTAATGCACTATGCGCGTAACATTGTATTAAATATTAATATCCAAGGCATATTAATATGGAAACCTATATATATATACATATATATATATATATACTTATATATGGATATATATATATATATATATATATATATATATATATATATATATATATATATAAACTGCAAAAACAAAAAAAAAAAACAAACAAAAAACACGAACTACCAAGCTAAATGTTTCAATAATATAAAAATATATAGAATTCTATGTATGTAAAACCGATATAAAATCCGCAAAAAAAAGAAACTTTCACACGGCAAGGGAGAAGGCTCATAGGAAAAGAGAGTAAGAGAGATGGGAAGAAAGAAAAAGAAAAGGACGCAGCTAAAGCAGATTTATCCAAAAGCTAACAACATTTTTTTCTTTAGTCTATACATCAAAAACAAAACAAACAAAAGAAAAAAAAAAAACAAACAAAAATACAAACAAAGTAAAAGTATATAAAAAACCCGAAATTATAAATAAAGAAACCCGAAATTAGTTTTTAGAGCGCAGCATATGAAATATTGCAAAAACGCGGTATCAGTAACGGTAAAGAGAAAGAGGAAAGAAAGGCCACAGAAAATGATGGCAAGCAAAGCCAGAAGAAAAGAGGAAGAGTGATGGTAGAAAGTGGCAGCAAAACAAACCGAAAAAAAAACAAAAACAAAACAAAAACAACTCCCTAACAAGTAGCAAAGAAAATTGTAAATATTTATATAAATAATTTATGCCTAAAATACAATTAAAATTAAACAAGAAAACAAAACCAAGATAAAAATGCAAAAGAAGAACCAGAAAAACCATTTCAGATTTATATGCAAATTTGTATATGTACGTACTTTCCTTTAATTTTAGCCAATCAGTTTGTAAGTTTTTTTTTTTTTTTTCTTTTTGTGTGTTTTATAGTGAGATGAGAATAATGATAATTTTGTTCGTTTATTTAAGCCGATACCATAATGGTATATCAATATATATATATACATATATGTATATATATATATATATGTAATTTTATATGGATATATATGTATATGTATATATGTAAGTGTGTGTGTTATCGACGCAACTTCATCGATAACTTGGATGAACGCGCGCGAGTGTGTTGATTTTAAAAAAAGTGAAAGAGAGTGGATATAATGAGGAATGGACGGAATGGTATGAAGGAGTATGAGCGAATATATTATATAATATGATTATGTAAAATGCACATTTTTAAATTATAAATTATATTATATATATCTATACATATTTAAAACGACTATTATTATTATTATTATATGATTATGATTATCATTATCATTACTTTTTATTATCACTTAACGGTTTCGGTTCGATCCACAGCCCACAAAAGAAACCAACAACAACAACAACCAACAAACAAGAGAAACAAAATAAACAAAATAAACAAGCGAAATGTTTGATAAAAAAAAAACCCATGAGATGTTTTAATTTGCCTATGTTGTGTCTGCGTTTTTTTTTCGCTTCCATTTAACTCGATTTGATGTGATATATAATTCGGTTCTATTACTTTATTTATTTATCCATTTTTTTTGTTCTTTTGAAAGGAAAGAAAAGTGTCCACAAACAAGAAGCATATGCTTCACATATGCATATAAAGGTAAACAAAATAATACCTACTAAGTGTTTAAATAGTACTAAACGAATCAAAATATAAATACTGAGAAAAGTAAGAAAAAATTAAAGACAGCATCAAAGGAGAGGGATCGCAGCAGCAGCAGCAGACGAACTAAAACGAAAAGGGGGAAAACACATGAGAAAAGCGAAAAGGAAAACCCATTACATTATTTGTTGAGTATTTTATTAAATAATAATTACGATAATAATTATAACATTTAAATTGAAAGAAAAAAAAACGAGAAAAACTGAATATACATATATATTATATATGTTCACATATGTATATATATATATATATATATATATATATATATATATATGTATATATATATATATATATATACAAAACAAATTATTTAATAGTTATGCTAAAAAATTATTTAAAGTGAAGGATATTAAAAATATTTGCAAGCGCCACTGCAGACGAGCGTAAATGAGAGGGATGAAGATGGATAATGCCACCGTTCCGTTCTCCGAGAAACACCTTCCCAGTCCCCCAAAAGGACATTGCATCCTTTCCTTCAACCAAAACACCACCCACCCACCCATCCTCCCTCAGTATAAGAAGTGGCAAAGGAAACTCAGAAGAAAAGCGCTGTGAGCGCGAGAAGCGGAGAGTAAAATGCGTGGATGAGAAAGTGGAAGATACTAAATCAATAAGTAAACATAAAGATTTAATTAATAAATTAATTCAAAAAAAAAAAAAAAAAAAAAAAATGACGAGGACAAAATAAAAGACAAAACAGCAGACGAAAAAAAGTAACAAGAGATGAAACATTGAAAATAAAAAAATATTAAAAAAGATTAATATCAATACTTTTAATTTAAATATACGATTTTTGGGGGTGGGTGGGGGCAGCCGCGGATACAAAACTTCTCATTGGGGGGAGTCGGTCACATATTAATCTTTGGTGTTCCAAAATCTTGTGAATCGTCAAAGGGTTGTGCAAATATTAGAATATCGTATCGATGATATATAATTTTTAAGAAAAATATCAAATTTATAAAACTTTTATAGCGATTATTTGTAATATTTTTTTATTTCAATCATATATGTTCTTTAAAGCCCTCAAACATAATTCTTTGTTTAAGTTTTTAATCTTTTTTTAAATAACATTAATTTTCTTTTATAGTTTTATTATTTTAAGATAAAAAATAACAAAAATGTACAAATCTCAAATGTCAAATCAAAGTTTTACACGTTTACAGAATTGAGATTAGTGTGACCAACAATTAAGTATAAAATATATTTCAAAATATATCGATAAAACACGACGATCTGGTACTTTTGGTGGCTCAGACCGAAAAGTCTGGCAACACACCGGTGCTGCCAGAGTTTTTGGTCCGAGCGACCAAAAGTACCAGACTTCCCGTGAATTATATTATATACTGCCAAAGAGAATGACTGATCCAAGCAAATTGTCCGTGGCCGTGGTGTGTTCCTCGAACATGAACCGCTCCATGGAGGCGCACAACTTCCTGGCCAAGAAGGGCTTCAACGTGCGCTCCTACGGCACCGGCGAACGCGTCAAGCTGCCGGGCATGGCCTTCGACAAGCCGAATGTTTACGAGTTCGGCACCAGCTACGAGGACATCTACCGCGACCTGGAGACGAAGGACAAGGAGTTGTAAGTGCACCGCAGACCGGCCCGAGCCCTGGCCTCCATTCATGCTGCATCTTTTCATCCTTTGCTCCCACAGCTATACGCAGAACGGGCTGCTGCACATGCTGGACCGCAACCGGCGTATCAAAAAGTGCCCGGAACGCTTTCAAGACACCAAAGAGCAGTTCGACATCATTGTCACTGTGGAGGAGCGCGTGTACGACCTGGTGGTGCTGCACATGGAGTCAATGGAGTCGGTGGACAACCGCCCGGTGCACGTTCTCAACGTTGACGTGGTGGACAACGCCGAGGATGCCCTAATGGGCGCCTTTCTCATCACAGACATGATCAACTTGGTAGGAGGTTCACTACGAGCCAAATCGAGATACCGGCTCACTTGTTCTTTCTTTCCTTTACAGTTGGCCAAGTCCACAGATCTGGACAACGACATCGACGAGATGATCCAGGAGTTTGAGGAGCGCCGCAACCGTGTGATCCTGCACTCCGTGCTTTTCTACTGACGACCGACATCCGCTAACAGTACGGTTCCCAACTCTGACTCATCCGTTCCTGGGGTCTTGGTTGTCGGGTAGCGGGCGTTGGGCGGGCGGTGGCTTCCGGATGGAGCCGCATAGGAATTAGTAAAACTGTAAATAGAGAGGGCCATTGAAGCAGGCAACAGAACAGAACACAACACACACACACACACACACACACACACAAACGACACTCGTATGCATGATCCACACCTGTTCGCCTGACCCATTAATTACATATGCATAAATACGACAAGTGACAACAATTACAACGCGGCGTCGGAGGGCTTAACGGCTCCGGCTCCGGCTCCGCTGCTCTCTTACATATTTGGAATAGGTATATGTGTGCATGTCCGTAATTCTTGTAGTCCCAGCAGTTTGTGCGGCGTCCTGTTCCCCGTCTCGTCTCCCCCACACTTGGTAAATGTTAGTCGGTAGTTCCATTCCCACTCCCACTTCCATTTCACCCAGCTGGCAACGCTGGCGCCGATCTGGCTCCCTCCGGTCCCCTGCCCACGCACCGCACCTGCTGGCCGAAACACTCGCAGAAACAAAAAACCAGGCATCAAACGCATGCGGAGAAGGCGGCGTCACACATACAGAGAGACTGTGTTTACGTTGCGCGAGTGTGTGCGTGTGCGTCGTGTGTGTGAATGAGTGCACAACGGAGAACAGGCAACAGGCGGAGCCAGGGACGGATCGGAATCACAATCGGGGGGTGGGCGCCATCTCGGGGGTGGGGCGTAGCTTTTTTATCTTTAATAGTTTAACAAATTGTTTGGACAACCGAAGACCGCTGCGGGCTGTGCTTAGGCTGTACGTTACAAACAATGGCCGAAGGCTGCAGCGGAGCTAACTAACAACAAAACAAAGTAAAACAAAACAACATCGTATATGTAATAAATTATTATAAAAAAGAAAAAAAAAAACTGTTGTTTATCCTGGACGTCTGAACGGGCCATAAATTTCTTTTTCTAATAATTAAATATTCTGCTGAAATGGCAAGTAAATTGTTTATCCAATCAATATCAAATGGTGATGGTATTATGTTTATTAGGAGTGTTCACTTGTCGGCCCAATCAATGTTTACATGGTACTTGAAAACGCTGATAAATCGCGGGCCGGCTGGAGCTTGAATCCGCTCCTGGCCCCGATCAGCGCCGTCGCTTACAAAGCGTCGTTTCTTGTTGTTGCCATTGGCAGTGCCGCTGCCGCTTCATGCACGCTTTGCGCGCTCGGCCTGGCGCAGTCAGGGAACGATCGTGCTGGGCTCCATTACTGTGCTTTCGAGGGCTCCGCAACTCCAACTCAAGCTCCATCCGCTGACCGTCGTAATTACATAGCTGCAAGAGCCGGATTGCTTAACGTTAAGCTAACAACAACGTTTGCCAAGTGAAATCAAATCAAACATCAGATTCACAAACGACAGGGTTGTTTGTAAAAAAAAAAAACAATATCTACGCCTTTTTTTTTTCTTGTTTCTTTGTGTGTGCTTTCTTCCTCTTCGTTCGACAAAGCCAACGGGATCGCGGGACACGATGACAACGAAAAAGGAAGGTAAGTGTTCCGGTGAGCGGATACTCTCTCCGATCACTGTGCCGCCGTCAGGTGGGAGATTGTGGACAGTGACTGTGACTGTGACTGCGAGCGCGCGGCGGCGGCGCCCTTCAAAATGTGTTCTTCAGCTAGGGGGTCACCTACAAAAAGTAACGGACGACAGCGTCTTATCACAAAACGCTCAATCTTCCCGCTCTCACTCCCCAATTATCTACCGATGACGTGTGGTTGTTGTTGCCATTGGCTGTGGGCCAACAATAACAACCACTCAGTGGCCAAGATTAGAGCCTGGCAATAACCTTTCGTGTTGTCCGCTCTCCACTCTCCATTCTCCACCTCCACTCTCCACGGTAATGACATTGGGAGCGCGCCGCGCACATTCTACACGTAAATAATTGGCACACATGCGTGCCGTGCCATGCGAGTGCGCTGCTGTGCCTGTGCCTGTACCAGTACCAGCGGGAGGCTAGCTACCCAAAAGCCTTTCCAAATCTCAAAACCCGCTCGATTTTAATTTATTCAGACATCATTTCATGTCCACATTACCTTGTTCTCTGGCCCCCTCCGTCACCTCCATCGTCTCCTTGCCCCCGTGCCGCCGTCTGTGTCAATGTCAAATGCGATTCGGCCGAGATTATAATTACTGGCGGTGGTTGTGTGATTCACCATCGCGGTATCTCCTCCGTGTAGCCATCCCCAAGCCCGGTCATTTCCCCCCCCATCGCGACTGGAGTCACAAGCGGCCGAAAAGTATGCATTACCTGGAATTTGAATATTTGCGTATATTCCCCAATATGAGTTTGAAATATGGGAATATTCTTTCCCGATAGGAACAAAATTCCTAGTAAAACATATTTCACATACAATATGACATTGAAGACTTTTACCGAGCTTGACCAAATGTCCCCTAAAAACCATAACCATTAAAGAGTTATTAAGTTCCATCCACAATCTCTGTTTGTTTTGTGTTCAAGGAAGTTCAAGGATAATAACCAAGTTTCTGAAACTTAACCTATCCTTTTCCTAGTTCATCTCATAATTAAATACGCAGCTTAGGCATACATACATCAGGTGACACATCCATTCATTGGCATAGATGACTGATAATAATAAACAAAGACAGTTGATTCCGGCATGGAAATGTACAATAAAGTTTGTCCATAAGGTATACAAAACATAAACAAGATTTTCTTCGAAATACGTAAAAAGTTACTCTTCAGATTGAGCTTCCAATCAATAAATTTGCCATTAGTCATAGGTTTATTTATACCGAATGAGCTCAGTTACAGACTGAGCTTATGATTATCGCAAATGAGAAACCCGAAACAACTGTAAACATGTTGTATTACACAAAATCGTATACTTGGAAGATCGGTTGGATATATCCAGGGTCTAAAAAGTAAACAATAGTGTCGAGTTAATAGAGTTAGGAATTAAGTGCTGGCACCTTGAATGACTGTAACTTAGAATGGTTTTTATTGCGTGATACAACTCCAATCTAATCTTCGATCCTAGTTTAAGTAGCATTTTTCCAAGATCCAACTGAGAATATTTTAACCCTCTAGTGCCACTTTCCACAATGGAAGAAATTCAATAAAATAATGAAGCATCTATTCTTAACTGTTTAAAAATATTTAAAAGTAGAAAATGTATTCACTGGAATTGTGATTAATGTAATAGGTGCCTTAAGACACTTTCGGTACCTAAAGGTTAATTCCAGCTAAATGTTGAGATCGCCGCTCGATGGGGACGAGCTGCTGATGCTGCGACTTGATCACTGACTGACTGGGCTCGCCAGATCTCGGATATACGACACCCATAACACAATTTACATTACACTCTCGTCTGACAATTTGCACTTTGTGCCGACGACGCCAACGCCGACGTCGTCGTTGACCGCGCCACCGCCGCTTACAACTTTTCAAAGTCAAGCACAGCGCAGCAGTTTATTCGCTTTGTGCAACCGCATCGAAAGATACTCGCTCGTACACCTGTCCAGCTGTTCCACTAACTGGCTTCCGCACCCGATCTGTTCCGCCACCAGATCTTCCAGCGGCCAACCAATCAACCAAACTGGTGACCGACCAGGTGACCTCTGGCAGAGTGAAGTAGCGGTTTTGGGTGGCCAGTCATCGTGATTAGACAATCGATCCCCCGGGCGTTATCGAGTTCTTATCACCAGCTCCAATCCATTCATAAATAAGGTCACCGCAAGGCTGGTGGCCAATCACTTTCCTCCAGCCACTCCGTGCACACTCACTGCAGGTGAGTCCTCCGCAGCTCTCTAGCTGGTCCTCCGCGACTACTGTGGGAGCTTCCCCATGGAGTAAATAATCGAAAATAATAGGGTTACAAAACATAATACATTCGAGTTCCATGCTTTTGAAAGATTATACTCCTCAAGCCTTTCAAGGTCAAGTTTTTACATGAGGAAGTGGTTCCAAAAGTCTAAAATAGTTAAAGGTGGAAGCCCCAACTTATAAACAGCTATGCAAATGGGCTTTCTGTTTTTCAGATATATTTATATTGGCGATGAAATTGATGAATTCCCTAAAACGGAGCGAGTAAATATTTTATATCTAGGATATATCTATGATTTATCGAATAATAGTGTTAATTCTGATTATCAGCGATTGGAATAAACCTTAAAATCTGAAAAAAAACAATGACTTTGGACAAATTTTGGCTATCAACCTTTTGAGAAAGAATCTAGATCCTTCTATGCTTTGTCGGTGTCATAATCTTGTTCTCCTCACATGCGTCATCCTTAGACCACACCGCCCTGGATCTCATCATCAAGTCACTCAAGTCCCCGACCATGGTCTGCGAGGGCACCCATTTCGATGGCAAGATACCGCACACGTTCGTGATCTTTGGGGCGTCCGGTGATTTGGCCAAGAAGAAGATCTACCCGACCCTGTGGTGGCTCTACCGCGATGACCTGCTTCCCAAGCCCACCAAATTCTGCGGCTATGCGCGCTCCAAGCTCTCGGTCGCCAGCCTAAAGGCAGCCTGCCTGCAGTACATGAAGGTGAGTTGTGCGACCGGTGTCCACACAGTCCACAGATGTCACTTTCACTTACGCTCCACACAGGTGCAGCCCCACGAGCAGGCCAAGTACGAGGAATTCTGGGCCCTCAATGAGTACGTGGACGGTAGCTACGATGGGCGAACTGGGTTCGAGCTGCTGAACCAGCAGCTGGAGCTGATGGAGAACAAGAACAAGGCGAACCGCATCTTCTACCTGGCCTTGCCGCCGAGCGTTTTCGAGGAGGTGACAGTCAACATCAAGCAGATCTGCATGTCCGTCTAGTGAGTAGTCTTCCGCTCAACTCACATAGCATCCAAGCGAAATTGAATTTCGGAAACCTTGTGTTTACAGCGGCTGGAACCGGGTGATCGTCGAGAAACCCTTTGGACGCGACGACGCCTCGTCACAGGCGCTGAGCGACCATCTGGCCGGGTTGTTCCAGGAGGAGCAACTGTACCGCATCGATCACTACCTGGGCAAGGAGATGGTGCAGAATCTGATGACCATTCGCTTTGGCAACAAGATCCTCAGCTCGACGTGGAACCGAGAGAATATTGCCTCGGTGCTGATCACATTCAAGGAGCCGTTCGGCACCCAGGGCCGCGGTGGCTACTTCGACGAGTTCGGCATCATCCGCGACGTGATGCAGAACCATCTGCTCCAGATCCTGTCGCTAGTGGCCATGGAGAAGCCGGTCAGCTGCCATCCGGACGACATACGTGACGAGAAGGTCAAGGTGCTAAAGAGCATCGAGGCCCTTACTGTCGACGACATGGTGTTGGGCCAATATGTTGGCAATCCCGAGGGCACCACTGAGGACGCGCGCACCGGTTACCTGGAAGACCCTACCGTAGACAATAGCTCTACTACGCCCACGTACGCCCTCGGCGTATTGAAGATTAACAACGAGCGCTGGCAGGGCGTGCCCTTCATCCTGCGCTGCGGCAAGGCGCTGAACGAGCGCAAGGCGGAGGTGCGCATCCAGTACCAGGACGTGCCCGGCGACATCTTCGAGGGCAGCACGAAGCGCAACGAGCTGGTCATTCGCGTGCAGCCGGGAGAGGCACTGTACTTTAAGATGATGACCAAGAGTCCCGGCATCACCTTCGACATCGAGGAGACGGAGCTGGATCTCACGTACGAGCACCGCTACAAGGACTCCTACCTGCCGGACGCCTACGAGCGGCTCATCCTCGATGTCTTTTGCGGCTCTCAGATGCACTTTGTCCGCTCCGACGAGCTGCGCGAGGCGTGGCGCATCTTCACACCCATTCTGCACAAGATCGAGCGCGAGCGCGTCCAGCCCATCCCCTACCAGTACGGCTCCCGGGGGCCCAAGCAGGCCGATCGCAAGTGCGAGGAGAACAACTTCAAGTACTCCGGCTCGTACAAATGGCACGGCGGCAAGCCGACCACGTCCAATCTCTGATCCATCCGGGACTGGTATGGGGACTGTAATTGGGTTAACACAGCATGGACACGAGACACGGGACACTCTTCTCTGTTCTTACATACATATCTCTATGTAATTTTTGGTTATTTGTAATATTCTATGGTTTGTACAAGAATGTTTTTTATTAAATCTACAAAGTAGCGCTTAACTAAATTAAACGAGTTTGATATTGCATATGGGTACTTTTATACTCATTCAAAGTATTCAAAGGGCATGTAAAACTTTTTATTTTCTCGAGGAATATTTGGTAAACTTATGTATGTTTATACTTTGAAATGGAAAAGTTCAAACACACCTGAGATATTAAGAACTATACTATATACTATATATGTACGGACAGATGGACATGGCTGGATCGACTCGGCTGTTGATGCTGATCAAGAATATATATACTTTATAGTCGGAAAGGTCTCCTTCACTGCGTTGCAAACTTCTGACTGAAATTATAATACCCTGCAAGGGTATACAAATAAAACTGAAAAATGGAACGATGAATTTAAATTAAACGAAGGCGCGGGAAATCAAAAGAAGGAACACGATAGTCTTGAAATACGGCCACATCAAAGCCATACGTCAACGCCGGCGGATGACAGGGACTCCGGCCCTACATAGCTGGCCTATATAAAGCGACACACAGCTCATAGCCGGTCACTTCTTGGTAGTAGTCAGAGCAAGCAAGAAGTGGGGCAAGCATAGATGCGAGCCAGGATTTTTTTTTTTAATTTAATTTAATTTCGTTTAATTTTATTTGTTTTTTTTTTGTTTAGCTTAGTAATTTTTGTTTATAGTAGAATAGTATTATTTTTTAAACGACATTGTCGAAGTTGTTTACGGGTTTTGTTCTTCGAATGGACTTTTTAACCCGTTCCTGAATAGCTTCAATTGACACAACATCGTTTCCAGATTGTTGGAGGAAATCCAGGGCTTTGAAGACATGCCTTTCTACCTTCTTCTTCCCGGACAAGGATTTTTTTCTTAAATTTAATTTTCTTTTATTTTGCTTATTTGTTTATTTTCATATTGGGACATTATTCTTTTTTCATCATACCTCTAAAACTAGCCTTCCCAAGTTACTAACTGGCTTTGTGCTGCGTATGGACCTTTTCAACCCGCTCCTGAATAGCTTCTGTATTAACCCGGTTTTTCGCACCAATAATACAAATTATTACGTATGTTTTCTCGCTTTATTCTCACACCTTTGCCTCGCCGAATAAGACTGCCTTAGCTTTTATAATGACAGTCCCAACATAAATGTAAATCCAAAGCCAACTTGATTAGCTCTCTCGGAAGTACAGGTTCCTACACTTAGTAATTTTTGTTTATAGTAGAATAGTATTATTTTTTAAACGACATTGTCGAAGTTGTTCACGGGTTTTGTTCTTCGAATGGACTTTTTAACCCGTTCCTGAATAGCTTCAATTGACACAACATCGTTTCCTGATTGTTGGAGGAAATCCAGGGCTTTGAAGACATGCCTTTCTACCTTCTTCTTCCCGGACAAGGATTTTTTTCTTTAATTTAATTTTCTTTTATTTTGCTTATTTGTTTATTTTCATATTGGGACATTATTCTTTTTTCATCATACGTGTACTTGGGGTCTTGGGTATTTAATACCTCTAGAACTAGCCTCCCCAAGTTACTAACTGGCTTTGTTCTGCGTATGGACCTTTTAACCCGCTCCTGAATAGCTTCAATTGGCACAACATCGGTTCCTGATTGTTGGAGGGGTAATCCAGGGCTTTCAAGACATGCCCATTTATCTTCTTAGAGGTTAGGCCAGGGAATCTAAGGAGATCCTCTGCGTCTTATAATTCAGAGCGCTGTCTGGTGCCTTAAGTAGTCTACAACCACGTCCTCCAAGTTATCAGCAGGTACCGCCTGACCCGATCCTGTAAAGCTTCAACAGGCAGAAAGCCAGTTCTTAATAATACGCAACTACTCAATCTGGGACTTAAATTTCGGATTGCCAGACTGGCTTCAGGCTCTATTGAAATCCAGTAATAATGATGGAGAAGGTTACGACTAACCATCTATGGGTTCCTATTGGACACCTGCTTGGTGAAGAATTCGTATATTTAGCCCCAACCAAAAGCATTTAAAAACAAAAATATAAATATATAAAGAAGTAGCATTTTTTATTATTACCTTTTTACGAATAAGTTATAAAGATGCAACCTATATACATATGTATGTGTATCCATATCCCCACAGTAATAATCACCAACCGCTTGCAATTCCCTTCAACGATTTCTGACTAAAATAACGCAAGATTACAGTGGAATATACTTGAGTACTTTTATAGTATAGTAAGTATATACAACGAATTCCTTATAAATTGTTATGATTTTTACTACACACACATGTACATATGTACATATGTGCTTACTTGCGATAAATATTGAACTGTGAGGATTTGGATTACGTTGGATTTTCCCTTAATACGCGGAATACTACACTGATGCGAGGCGAAACGAGGTGAGAACAGGCGAGGCTCTGGTCTCAGCTATGAGGAGGCGGTGGATTGATATATCCATCGCTGTTGGGTATTAAACGTGGCGGAGGCGAATCGACATATCCATTGTTGTTGGGAACTGACCGTGGCTGAGGCGCCGTGACATAGCCATTGATATCAGGATTTAATCGTGGCGGAGGTGGATTTATGTACCCTTCGTTGTTGGGAATCAAACGTGGAGGAGACGCCACGACATAACCATTGATATTAACATCTATTTGTGGCGGAGGCGCCATGACATAGCCATTGCTTGGTGGTCTTATATCGCCATTTTTACCAATGGCATTATCCATGCATACATATGCCGAGGACTCTGGTTTGGGTTGTGCCACGTCCCCCGTAAATGATTCCTCCATCTCCTTCTCCTCAGGCTCGCTCTCCTGCCCCTTGTCTGTGAACGTCACGAGATCTAAATTTAGGATGGTAGTTTTGGGATTATAATATGGATAATTTATAATCGGCACACCCCAAAGAGGAGAAGGCTTGGAATCGGACTTTGGCTCAGACGTGAATATGGGGCCCATTTCAGGCATCTCGACTTTGATATCATTCATTTTGCGTAGCTTCTTGGCCGACATGACAATCACTCCCAGCACCAGCAAGGCACAGATGCCCTCCACAATCCGCAAATTAAAGGAATAGTTTTCCTTCTTTTCTACGGCCTCTAGCCTAACGCTCATGCCGCCACTGACATGGTCATGGTATATGGGTTCCAAGGCTATGTCTTGCAGTGGCATTGAAGTGTCGAATCTGTACTCCTGCTGCTCCTTATCGTCCAACGAAATGTTTTTAATGGAGACTCGGTCGTCGCAAAGCTGGCCGAGTGTTCTGGAGGCATTGCACCAGTAGATGAGGTACCCTGACAGCAGGTCGGTGTCTTCGGGCTTTTTCCAGGAGATCGTGGTGCTATTCTCTTCGGGGATGTACCTCAGATGAGTAGCCCGTCGCTTCGCCACGTTGCTTAACGCGGGCACCCACAGCCAAGTGCTGTTTACCGAGGCGCCTTTGATGTTCCGACTTCTCATGGTCACATTGGCCGGCTGGCTGTCATCCCAGTTTGTGAATATGGCGGAGCGGGTATAGGTGCGGCTAGCCTCCTGGCTGCTGGAACAGAAGAGAGCATTAGTTCCAGCGACCAAAAGATAGATAATTACTTAAACTTTTTAATTAGATTATTAGCACTAATCAAATAAAAAACTTTATTTTCTAAATCCAAAAGAGCGAGCGCTATGAGAGAAATACTTTTTATAAGAGTTTATAGTGAATTATAGTTGAAGTACAAGTATATTCTCTCCCTGCTGTCTTAGGCATGGTACATTGCATGGACCATTTGATCAATTTCTATTGAAAATAACCACTTTTTAATTTTGGTTTTTGCCTCAACAAAAACACCCACAAAATGTTGATGTTATTGTGGACCTTGAGGCTCGAATAGATAATTTGCAATGAACATTAATCAATTGCTCGATTTAAAGCACTAAATTAATTCACTTAAATTTAACGGCAATAATGTTGGTGTTTTGAATCTTCTAGCTTTAATATATTATTTCCAGTATAAACTGATCAATTTGTGGCGTCTTGAGTCTGGGCTTACCCTTTCCAGCGGACATCGTATTTCAGATTCGGTCCATTGTATTCAATCTCGTCCAGCGGGAGCCAGAAGACAGTTAGCTCGTTTTTGTCCTCGTCGTAGGTGAAGCCGTTGGGCACGAACTGCGGCGGGCGGGCGGGCAATGTGTCATTCGTGGTGATCTCAAACTCGGGGTAATTTTCCGACCATATAGTGTTGTTGCCCTTTATGTGACACCTGAGGCGCACATCAAAGACCTGGTGGCCCTGCTCCGGATGAGGGAAGCAGAACGTGAGACTATTCAGATCCGGCTGCTCCCCGCTGGTCAGTATTAGGGGTGGTGGTTTAATCTGAGCCAGACGAGGTTTTAGCTCCACCACCCACTCGAGGGAACTGCTCCTCTCGAGCATGTCCCCTGGGTAGTACCACCTCAAGCATGTCTGGTTGTCCTTCGTTATCTTGTCCGCCTCGCTTGGCCGGCACTTTGGCACGAACATGCTGTCGAAGGGGAGCTCGATCAGCTGCGTCTGCTTTCCAGCATTATTGCTATACCTGGTCAGATTAAAGATTTGGCTCGACATTTTAGAGGCATGGCCCATTCTCAATTCCAGGATGCAGTTTACCCGCCTGTCCGCGGTCGTGCATTGGCTCGTGCTGCCACTGGGCTCGTAGCTGGTAGCTGGTAGCTGGAGCTGGTAGCGAACGCCATTCTCGTTGAGCTGTTCGATCTGTGATCGACTGAAGCTACAGTTCAACTTATCGCTTACGTCGAAGCGGCATGCGAAGTCCGTCACATTGAGGGCGGCGATCGCCGTGACAATAACAGAACCCCTCACTAAAGTGTTCCACTTGCACTCGTACTCGTTCTGCACGCACTCCGTGGCACTCTCCTTTGTGTACTGCACAGTGTTGTTGACAATGGTTGTGTTCAGCTTGGTGCCGCCCTGGTACAGGCTCAATCTGTGAACCTCGCTGCTGTTTCTGTCTATACAGGCGCAGAACACTTGGCCAGGTCGGCCCACCGACCACTTGCCTTTGCCCGAGGCCCAGACTTCCAACTCGCACGGCTCCGATTCGGAATCGTCTGCCCTGGCCGTGGTCAGAACTAGAAGCATTAGCTTTAGAATCAAACACCATGTCAGCCAGCCCATGGCGTGCTGCTGCTGTATATATATACTTCGCTGGACTGGGAGCAGGGAGCGGGGACAGAGAGCTGCTCAGCCTCCTTCCCATTAACCGGATTGTTCGGGAATGAGGCGCGCGCGGTCGAGCCCCGCGAACGCAAAGCTTTCCTCGAACAGATAAGCAGCAGCAGAAGGAGAACGCGTGGGGATTAGCCTCTTCGTAAGCCGGCGATGCCGATATTGTCGGACAGCCATATGCGACTGAAATACGAAAGCTCATTCCCGAGAGCCAGCTGCTGCTGCTGCTGGACCTCCCTTATCTCTAAGTAAAAACCAGTGAATTTTAAAAGTATCTTTATGTTGGTGTACATTTTACACATACATATTATAGTTATTATTATAAGATCGATCTGTTCGACGCGAGCGGATGATTAAGTGGGTTGTGTGTGTACAAATACGATATATAAAAAAATACTACAGCGTTACGAATACTTTCCTCTTCTTCTAAGCCCTCTGTGCCTCACGCGCCTCGCAAAGAATACAAAATAAATTACAAACGCGGAACGCGGGGGTTCCCTCGTCCGGTGAGTTGCCACTAATTACTAAAAACAGCTGCCAGGTTACAGGTTACAGGTTACGGGTTACAGTTTCCAGACTCCGCTGATCCGCATGGCATGGCTTGGGTTGGATGCGGCTTCGGTTTCAGTTACGGTTACGGGTGGAGAATCGAGATGGGAGATGTGGGGGGGGATGCAAAATGGATGGATGCAAACGATGCAGAGAAGGATTGCCGGGGTGTCCAGGCCAAGTGCTCCACTCGGACTTAGAGCACATGCCTATTGTTGTGGGCCAGGACGTTCAGATCCTGGGGCGTCACATAGCCGTTAATTGTCGGCTGGAGACCACCTGTCGCCGCCCCAGTGGCATGCGTCGGCGAGCCCACGGCCGGGGATATCGGTTGCTTCATTAAAGCGGTGAGCTGCAGCTGCTCCATGGTGGTGTAGCCAATATCGGCCTGCTTGGGTGTGGGCGTGGAGGCGGCGGCGACTACTGGCGGCTGCGGCGAGGCTGTCACAACGGCAGAGGTTCCTCCTCCACCTCCTGATCCTGTGCCGGGTGCTGATCCTGCTACTCCTTCTCCTCTTCCAACCGATGGCAATGGCGCTGCAGCCAGGGGCCTTAGCTTGTGCAGATCTGAGGCCTGCACATAGTTGTCCATGTTAAGCAGATGCGCTGGCGGGAAGAAGGTGGAGGCAGCAGCGGCGGCGGAGGGAGCATTAGCGGTGGCCTGTGGGTGAGCCGGAGCTGGGGCGGGCAGAGGATTGAGGCGCGACTGCAGAATGGGCACGGGCACATAGCCGCTGAGCGGCACCCGTGGCAGCGGCTGCGACTGGACGGAACCACCGTTGCCAGCCCAGGTCTTCATCTGGGTGGGCTTAATGTAGCCACTGGTCGCCTCCCTGTTGTCCCTGTTGACGTCGCCATCCTGTTGCTCTCGCTCCTGCTCCGACTCCTGCTCCCGCTCACGCTCCGTCTCACTGTCGCTCGGCATGAGCAGTCCGTGGTGCATGGACAGGTAGCTCGTGGGTGGGGGCACAGCGCCACTCATGGGTCCCGTCTCCTGGTGGTCGTCGTAGCCATTGCGATCCAGGCAGCCGCCGCCGGAGGATGAGGCTGTGCGCAGAAGCAGCTTCGAGCTCTCACCGCCGCAGCTGCTAAAGTCGTGCGGAAGATGATCCTGTGGCGTGTACTGCGGCGAGTTGTCGACACGGGTGCAGATGATGCCGCCGCTAACAGACGAGTTGGGACCGAGATCGAGGCCCAGACCGCCCATGTCCATCGGCTTCTTCAGGGTCTCCATGATGCCCTGCGGTAGCACCAGATCGATGTCGGACATCTTGCGGTATTTCTTGTACACCAGATAGAAGATGACGCCGAGCACAAGGATGGCGACGGTCACCTCGATGGTCTGGTACATGGCCTTCACGCTGTTCGTGTCCGGGGTGCAGATGTATCCGTAGGTCCCCCACTCGGACTTGTACAGTCGATAGGCGGATGCGTTGGCGCCGTATGCCTCGTACTGTGCCCGCTCCTCCTCGCCAAGCACGTTTGTCGCTTGCACTTCGCACGAGGACTGCGAGGACTGGATTACGAGACTGGCCGTCGACTCATCCGCTCCCGTCGGCTGACGGTCCACGTTAATGGCGCGCACCGCCAGCTGGAAGGGATTATGACTGGTGCACCGCGGCGTGGCCATCAAGAAGGAGCGGTTGTGCCCCGGCAGGATGGTGCTCATCAGGCAGCTGGCGTTGCTGTCGCGCAGTGACACCTCGTAGTAATCAATGCGTCCGGCCGGTGTCCTGGGCGGGTGCCAGTCCAGGCGCGAGCTTTGGTCCTTGTTGTTCGTCACCTGAAGCGTTGGCGGCGAGGGAACTGTGGCGCGGGGAAAGAGGTTTAGTTGAGGGATCAGGAAAAAAGGTATGAGTACTCACCTCCGATGGCCGTGCGGAAGGTCACCAGATTGCTGGGCTCCGACGAATAGAGCGTGCGCGCCCGCACACTCACCTCGTAGTGCGTGAACGCCGTCAGGTTGCCCAGCGTGTGCGTAATGGGCTTCTCCGTGTCCACAAGCTCGTAGATCAAGGCCGGCACGCGGAAACTCTCGGTGACATTGTCTCGAAGGGAACGGAAGGTCCCCTCGTAGGCGCGCACCATGCCATTGGCCAGAAGCGGCGGCTTCCATGACAGCTCCACACTGGACCTGGTCACGCGCAGCAGCTGTAGTTCACGAGGCTGGCTGGGCGCCGCCTCGCCAGTGCGATTGACCAACTCGTCGCTGTACTTGCTCGCCCGCGTCTCCGAGTACATGAGCATCTTGACGCTGTAGTCGGTGTAGGGCACCAAGTTCTTGATCACATACTTGTTGCTGTAGTGGTCGATCCCCACGGTGGTGCAGTTGTCGGGTCGGCCGGTGGAGCGCTGACAGTAAGTGAGATTGTAGCCGGCCAGGATGACGGCGCAGACGTGCTCCGTGCCCCAGCTGACCGTCATCGTGGAGCTGGTGGTCACATCAATCGAGGGCTCCATCTTAGCCAGGTCGTCCGTCTTGTCGCTGCTGCACTTGGGCCACCGCAGGCCCGAGTTGTGCGATCGGTAATTGGCTGAAACGGCCATTAGCAGCGTCTGCTGGTCCCTGGCCGTTGTGAACATCAACTGGCCACTGGGCACCTCGGCGAAGCGTATGGATCCCTCGCACTCGGACAGCAGCCCCGGCTTGGGCTTGCACCAGAACACCGTGTAGTTGGTGAGCTCTGTCTGATCCTCGGGCGGCTCCCAGGTCAGCGTGAAGCTCTCGTTGGTCTGCTGGTACACGCCATGTATATTTTTGGGCACGCGTTGTCGTAAATCCCGGTTGCTGATTGGGCCAATCGACATACGGGTGGCGTTATCCGACTGGCCCTCGCTGTTCTTGCTGCGTATGAGGAACTCGTGGACGCCGCTCATGTTCCAGTGATCAATCACCGCCGAGTCCAAGCCCACTTTGATCAGGTTGGGATCCCTGCAAAGAAAATAAAGGAAACAGAAAAGAAATTAAGTAAATGGTGACTTAAAACCCGGACTCAAGTGTCCCCAAGATCCAACGATTCCAAGACAAAACTAACACGTTTCACACGAAATCGAAATAAAGGATCGAAAGTACCCTACGATTCTCTACTAGAGATTTGATTTCAGATCGATTATATCGATTCTTTCTATTTTGGAAGCTGCAACGCTTCGGTTTTGAAACACTCAAGGTACCTAAAACTGTAAATAATTGACGTTCTTTTCTAAAATATCGAATAATATCGATGCATTTAGAATCGATTTGTCCCCAGATCTTTCTCCACCATAGCGGAATTTCTTAAGATTCGTCCTCCAAATTCCGCCTGCTCTATGGATTCTGAAAAGATCTTTTGCAGTGCCCTCTTGATTTCTCTATCTCTCTCTTTCTTCTACGCTTTGCGTGCAATGTACAGTTTATTTTATTTATTTATTATTATTTTATTTATTCAATTTGTTCCCTCCAAAATACAAGTGAGAGGAAGAACCACCATGAAAGAGGCCGCCCTTCCTCAGTTTCCAAGCTTAAACCGATTTTACGAGCTCTGTTGATAAGGCCAGAGTTATATGTATATTATTGGTGGAAGATTAGGTTTAAGTAGCCCATGCCCTTAAGGTCTGGTGTGTTTGCTATTGACAAAAAAACAAAAAAATAATAATAATAATAAGAAATCATAGAGAAAATTCCATGTATTCAGACACATCAGACAAATACAAAAACATTCAGTTTTAACATAGCAGCCGCTTCAAAATCATTCGAAAATAGTTTTTGGGAATTTTATCATCGCAGAGACCGGCCCGGCAATTTCGTTGGCGTTCCTCACAGTTCCAAGAAGTACACTTGCTGCTCCCCATTTGGTACGTACAATTCCGTTGCTGTCAATTTATCTGCATGAAATACGATCGAATTCCTGGGAAGCCACCAGTTCGTATGGGGTCTCCAAAGGTCTTCTAGGTTACGGCAAATTCGAAAGACGCGCTTGAAAGCTCGAAGCGTATTTAAATGAGGCCACAGTTCTGTGCTTTCCAAACAGACAAACCGGACGTATAGGTTTCTCCGACATATGTACATATGTATTGTAAAGAAATTTCAAGAGGTCCGTTACCTCATAATTCTTGGAAATAATTATATTAAGCTTGGGCTTCTATTCACTCTGATTAAAATATACGGAGTTTAAAAGGCCATCAGTGGGGCTTAGAGGGCACTGGACTTATCACAGTTTTTTGAAAATGTACATATATTTACTCGGAAATTCAAATGTATTACGTTCATTAAATAATGACAATTCCGCTGCCCAGTAGACGCACTCTCTTAGGCCCGCCGTATCTGCCTATCAGCAGTCCAGCTATCGGCTATCAGCCAGGCAAATAATAAACAATACTGGGAAGATTCAATTAGTTGAGCAAGACACTTCGTTGGGGGAAGATTTATGTATACTCGCAAGACCTTTTGTTCTAAGAATTTGTCATGGTGGGGAATCCTAACCTCGACCTTATTTTCCACGAACATCCCATCCATCTTTCGGTGATAAGAGATTACCGAGAAGGTTGAAATCGAGGCAGAATAGCACTTCCCCCTTTAACAGTAGAGGTGCGAAAAAAAGCAACGCTAAAAATAATGTAATGATAGTTTGATGAAAAACCTAATTAAAAAGGTTATATTTTGTTTTGAAAACAACTTCTAAAGAAAATACTAATAATCATTATTTACGGTCCCAGATAAATATATGTACATCCATATATAATGGGGTATAACCAGAATTTTTTATAGTGTGAGCGTTCGATAGATAGAATTGTGTAAGTTACAAGTTTCTCCCTATATACATACTTGGATACATATGTATCTATGTACATCTTACGTATTTTCCCGGCATCGATTGTGCCATTAATTCAACGACAGCCCCCCCATCTATCTATGTATCTTTCAATTCGATTCAATTCCGATTCCGGCAAAGCGACGGTAAGCAGAAGACGAGATACCGCGAATCCGCTCAAACGACGCTGCAGGCAACAAAAGAGTATAGACTACAGGGTATCTGGCAACAGACGGGTTTCCTCCGATTTCGATTTCTCTGGTGCAGTGCATTCGCGCTAAACGCCTCCATCCCCATATCCATTCCCCATTCCACATTCCCATCTGCCCCATCTTCCCATTAATGAACGTGTTTTTGCGTTTGTTTTGCTGCCACTGGTGCTAGTGCTGGCACTGGTGCCTCTGTGTGTGTGTACGGCGGCTCTTCGGACGAAGTTAAAAATAAACATTTTCAACGGAACCCCACAATGGGAATGCTGCTCCGCTCCTATCCGCTCTGCTCTGTGCAAATACTACGCCGTATGGCTGAGTGCCGCGCCGTATTCGCGAGAAATCACCTTTTCGACGAACTCCCTCCCCTACCCCTTCCATCGACTCCATCTCAACGGGTGGGACACCTTTGTTTCCCCTACCCCGTGCATATATACTCACACTAAAGTCCCGTTGATGCGGTACTCGCTAATGATGTATCCAAATTGCGGTCCGTTCTGTTCGTGCGGTTCCAGTGGCTCCCAGTAGAAGCGCATGCCCTCCTCCGAGGAGTCTACGTAAAAGCTGCCGTAGGTGACGCGCGGCGGCCGGCGTGGTTTAGCCGGAGCTGTGGCAAAGCTGTAGATGAGCGGCTCGCTCCATATCGTATTATTCCGGTTGCCGCGCACGCGCAGCCGCAGCGTATAGTTGTAGAAAGCGTATGGAAGCTCCGTGAGACAGAGCGTGTCCTTGATGATGGAGCTATTGTTGCGCCAGTTGGCCCGCTTTAGCGGCTCAAAGTTGTGCGGTGAGACGTTCACCTGCCAGACCAGGCCGTGGGCATAATTGCTGCGCTGCTTCATCTCCCATGAGAGGCACACGGAGTTCTCGGTGCTGTTGACGAGGGTCAGGTTCTGGCCCGGCCTGGACGGCACAATCCGCTCAAAGTGATTCAGCGTTATGGGCTGCATCAGGTCACCGAGGGTATTGGCCATGTACAGGCGAAAGTAGTAGGTCTCGCTGAAGCGCCGGTAGTTGTCCTCCGTGATGTTGCAGGTGACCACCGGGGCGGCGTCGAAGTTACAGTCGACCGAGTTGCTGTAGTGCCAGTCGTCGTTGACATTGTAGCTGACATTGTACTTGGTTATCAGCTTGTTCGGCGGCTGGGTGAAGTTGCACACCATGAACTGGAAGTCGTAGTCGATGCAGTCAAAGTCCCGGATGGGCAGTGGCCGCGTGCCCACGTACACCTTCGAGGTGTTGATCACGTAGTCGCGGCACATGCACATGTACTCGCCCTCCTGCTCCTCGGCGTTCCTGGCGGTGAACAGGACCGTGGTGTTGTTGAGCGTCCGTATGTCCGGATGCTGGCGGTACTCGCGCTTTCCGGCCTTAAAGTACAGATCCTCGACGGTGCAGGGCTCCATGACGTTCGGATCGCTAAAGTACGTCTCATTGAGGGTGCAGCTGATCGTAAAATTGCCGCCGATTGCCTGCTCCACCTTGTCGGGGATGAGCCAGCCGGGATCGACGGTGGCGCGGGCGCCTACCTGCAGCAGGAGGAGCAGGGCGAGCAGCTCGAGCGCCTGCGGCACCAGAGGCGCCATGGTCCTTAGACTTCCTTAGTCCGCTCCTGTATTTTGGTATCTTCTCTCCTCTAGTTCTCCTCTCACCACCTCACCGCACTTCGCTCTGCAACCTCTGCTCTCCTCTCTCGCACTGCACTCACACACGCACGCTCACCGACACGGCCGCTCTCTCACACTTACACGCACACCTTGCTGGCCGTGGCACTTGTTGGCTCTGTATTGGTGGGCAGTTCTCGGAAACCGTTTATACGCTGGGTTCCTGGAAGCAGCTCTAACGCATCTCGCTGCCAAGGTGTGCTGGCTGGTTCCTCGTTCGTTCCGAAGTTCGGAGTTCACTGCACACTGTTAGCTACTTTGCAAGAGTATTTTCGGTTGTTGGATAAAATTGTTGTTTGTCTTTGGATCTGTCTGCAGATTCCTGAGTACGCGTAGGACGGCGATCGCTCTCTCCTCCCTGCCCCCGCTCGCGTTGCTGTTGCTTTCGTTGGATTTTCTGTTTCTGTTTCGTCTGGTCGGCAGTGTGACCGGGCACTTATCGGAACTCGATATACGATATGGCCAGGTGCGCGCTGCAGACCTTCGGCCGAACGGTCACACTTGACTGGCTCATCACACCTGTGCCGCGCAAGTGAAAATCGCCCTGCGAACGCAATGTTTCACTGCAATTGCTAGCTGCGTGCACCAAGGACGGCGGAAATGCATATTTGAATGGGCTGAAGTAGCACCTGCTTGGCGATACCACTTCCTATCGATATATATCGATAAGCGCGTGCGGCAGCCCTGGCCTAGGTGTTCAGCACTTAATCGAACGTGCGTCTGTGTGTGTGTGTGAGTGGGAAAGTGACGAATTACTTTTCATCAAATGGGAAATAATTTAGTTTGAAAACACGTATATCTATCCAAAGCAGCGTTAAAATCCAGTCGTAAGAACTCTGAACGACGACGAGGTAAATCGGCGCAGGCAAAGCAAAAACCGTAAATTCGACAATTACACCAGCGAAATGGCGGAAGGCGGCAGTAAGCGCATCAACGTGGTTGTGAAAACGCCAAAGGACAAGAAGACGGTCGAGGTTGATGAAGATTCTGGAATAAAAGATGTGAGTACTTCTCTAGGTCGGAGTTCCAGGTCTCTGCGGTGCCCCAGCCCCTTGCTGCTGCTCTGGCGTTGGCAGTGCCCCTTAATTGGCAGTAGCGCTAGCTGCTGGTACAGTGCACTTCGCCTAAGCCGCACCGCCAGCGCCAACGAAGAGGGTGGCAAAGTGCAAAGGGCTTGGGCTGCGTCTGTGTATGTGCACGCTAGTATGTGAGCGCGGGTCTGTGGGTGTGTGTGTGCATATCCGCTGAGCGAGCGAGACGGAGTGATAGCATCGGATCCTTCTAGAAACAATAATAAAAATAAATTAAATAAATGTACTAACCTGTGTGCCGTCTCTGACCCACAGTTCAAAATTCTCGTCGCACAAAAGTTCGAGTCGGAGCCGGAGCAGCTGGTGCTGATCTTCGCCGGCAAGATCATGAAGGACACGGACACGCTCAAGATGCACAACATTAAGGACAACCTGACGGTGCATCTGGTGATCAAGGCGCCAACGCGCAGCAACGAACAGCCGGCCCGCGCTCCGGCCGATGTCCGTCAGACGCCGTTTGGCCTAAACCAGTTCGGCGGCCTGGCCGGAATGGAGGCGTTGGGCGCCGGCTCGAATACGTTCATGGACCTGCAGGCGCGCATGCAAAATGAGATGCTGGGAAACGGTGACATGCTGCGCTCGCTGATGGATAATCCCCTGGTGCAGCAGATGATGAACAACCCAGAGACGATGCGCCAGCTGATCACTTCGAATCCTCAAATGCAGGACCTCATGCAGCGCAATCCAGAGATCTCGCACATGCTCAATAACCCGGACCTGCTGCGGCAGACTATGGAGCTGGCCCGCAACCCATCCATGTTGCAGGAGCTCATGCGCTCTCACGATCGCGCCATGTCCAACCTTGAGTCGGTGCCGGGCGGCTATAGCGCGCTGCAGCGCATCTATCGCGACATCCAGGAGCCGATGATGAATGCGGCTACCGAGTCCTTCGGCCGCAATCCCTTCGCCGGCCTAGTCGAGGGCGGCGGCTCTGCTGCCGGCGTCAATCCGCAGCAGGGCACTGAAAATAGAAACCCCCTGCCAAATCCCTGGGGCGGCAGCGGTTCGGCCCTCAATGGCACTGGCACCGGAGGACCTGGATCTGGAACCGGCGTCGGCGGAAATGGCACCGGCGGCGATCTGCCTCCGAACAATATTATGAATACACCGGCAATGCGCAGCCTACTGCAGCAGATGGCTGACAATCCGGCGATGATGCAGAACCTGCTGAATGCGCCGTACACGCGCTCCATGATGGAGTCTATGTCGCAGGATCCGGAGATGGCGTCGCGCCTGCTGAGCACCAGCCCGCTGCTGTCGAACAACCCCGCCCTGCAGGAGCAGGTGCGCCAAATGATGCCACAATTCATGTCCCAGATGCAGAATCCCGAGATGATGAACATGCTGACCAATCCGGAGGCAATGAACGCCATCCTGCAGATCCAGCAGGGCATGGAGCAGCTGCGCAGCGCGGCCCCGGGCTTTGTCGGCACCCTGGGCATCCCGCCACCGCCGCCAGGCGTCAACTCCGCCTCGGATCCGGCCAGCGGTGATACCAACAGCGGCAGCGGTGCCAGCGTAAACAATATCTCGCCCAGCAGCGGTACTAATGCTAGTGGCAACCCGGCCGCCGGTGGCCCCAGCCTGGCTCCAGGCGGTGGTCCGAATGCGCAGCTCTTCAACGACTTCATGATGCGCATGCTGAACGGCATGTCCAACAACACGGACAGCACGCAGCCCCCGGAGGTGCGCTACCAGTCGCAGCTGGAGCAACTGGCCGCGATGGGTTTCGCCAATAGGGAGGCCAACTTGCAGGGTGAGTTGCTAGTGGATCCCCTCTGCACTAATGTCCCTCCTTCTAATTGGAACTCTTTTTCTCTTTGCCCCCCCAATAGCTCTGATTGCCACATTCGGGGACATCAATGCGGCGGTGGAACGCCTACTATCCCTCAACCAGTTGTCCCTGAGTTAACAACGTTAAGCCATTTCCAAATTGTACACACAACCTGTCTATATATCTACGAACTACAACTATATCTACCACTATATAGCCCTGGAGAATGCGAATGAGAACTGAAACGAGAATGAGAGCGAGAGGACACGACGACGAGAAGGGGATGCGGAAACAGGCACGGATACGGGCAACCTCCCAATCCCAATCCCACAGCAAATTCCACAAGGTCAGCAGCTACCCGATGCTGACCGTTTATTCCTACATCAAGCTAGAAGCGACTCCCTACATACTAAACACTACGACACCATACAACATCTCAGACAGACATACACCATACAGGAGCGCAGGATCATTGGAGCGCTAAGAGAATGGCAGGACAAGACGATGAAGAGATCGCATACCAAAGCGTCGCATATTTTTCTTTTTTTTTTAACTGTTTACATTTTGAGGCAAAGGAAGCGGAGAGGGAAAGCACACACACTCTAAAAACATTTACCAACTTCACACCGAGGGAGAACTTGATTGTTTTCTACTAAATTTCAACCAAGCTTGCGGGCTGCTCTCGTTTGTCATTATTAAGTAAACTGAAAGCTTGTGACATCCAGTTGTGTGCTTGCTCCAGAGATGACTGTCGTCGGTTCTAGTCGGAGGCTGGTTTCCCCATCCCTTCTCGCAGCTCAAAGAGGTTCTTGATAGAGGCAGGGGTTCACGTGCTGGGGATGTAATTAGCTTAAAGGATCGCCGACTGGAGCATAAATTTTTGTTTAACCGATATCTACCGTCAACTTGTATTGTGTGCTTATCTATATGTGTATATAGATATATATATATATCAAAATATTCCATGGTGTTACAAAAGACGTAAAACTATTTGAAATTCCTTAGTAAAAGAGAGATAGAGAACGAGAGAGAGTAACGAACGCAACCCCCAATACTATAATCTTTAATTTATTCGTAAGCATTACCAAGATCCGTATCCGATTTGTTGGCCGGCAGCCCGGAGGAGCATCCCATTTTCCTCACGTTCCATTTCGTGCGCCCCTGTGTCTATATTTGATGTATGAAAAATCAATCTTTAACCTGTAAGTACTATAACTACTAAAGAGCGTCGCTCGGTCGCCGCAGCTGGGCAAACACACACACAACAGCCAACGGAGCTCCGGGGGTGGACTAATTGGGAGTCAGTGGAATTAAGAATGGGAGTCGGGAGGTACTGGAGAGCTGGCAAAGGCGATCGGAGTTATGCGGTTATTCGTTTAGTGATGGAAGTGAAACTAAGTAATTAAATGTAAATGGTCACATGTTTTAAAACATAATTAATAAAGCTGCTTTGGTTTTAGATTATAGTCATTTCGAATATTATTTAACAACTGAAAAAGGAGCGAAATCGTTAATTTGCTGGGAATCTGGGAATCTTTTGAGAGAACCAACATGCAGTGTTATCTTGACGTTATCGTTCCATCTCTGTCTAAATCGCGTTCAAGGAGGTAACACCATAAAAAGGCCTGTTTTTTAGGATTTTTTTCTACGAACAGTAAATAGCTGGTAAAATTAATTTTTAGATTTTGTTACATTCACAAATAACTCGAATAAGAGGCTCTTAAATCGAAAAAGAAAAGCCCGTTCCCTTTTTATCCGCCATTAACCCTCTAGACCCCAAAAGTGCCTTGAGGCACTTATTATTATCTTCTATTCGTATATACATATGTATGTATGTATCTTTGGGCCTGCCAACACAGGACTAATTTCCCTGGCCGGAGGTTTCTTTATTACAGCAGCCGTGGCTTGAGTATACAATCGAAACACATTTAGTACGACATATATTATTGTACAATATATACGGTATATAGTACATCCTAGGGTAAGGCACTCGCACACACACACAATCTCGCACTCGCACGCGCATAGGAACGAACAGGACACACAACGACGTACAGCTAGAGATGAGGATGCAGTCATGGCCGGGAGTCAATCAGAGCTCCTCGAAGAAGGCGACCCGCGCTTTGGTGGAGCCGGACTTGAGTTTCTTGAGCGTGGAGTACTTGTTTTCGCCGGCCTTGATCTGGGCCTCGCTGAGTATGTCCAGGTTGCTCTGGTTCTCCTCGATCTTGTGCGGTGCGATCTCGGAGCGGAGCGTCTGCAGCTGGTTCTGAACCTGCTTCTTTGACTTGCGCAAATACTCGAGATGGTTGCGCTCCATCTCGTTGGTGATCTGCTCCATTTCGTTGTCGGTGAGAATGAACTCCTTGGGCTCGAAGTCGTCGGAGATGCCGCTCGAGTTGTCGCCCTGGGCAAGGTAGTGCGATGAGTGGGTGGTGGTCAGCTCGGCACCGCCGGCGGTTTCCATGTCATTGGTGGAGCTGCTGGTGGTCAGCGACGGAGTGCTGATTGCCGCCATGCTGGACGCCGTGTTGGCCGCGTGCGAAACACTGGAGGCGGTAAGCAAACTGTCTGTGGAGGACTTTCGACCGCTGTTGAGGAAGTTGAGGAGGCGGGCGGTTGCCTCGCGCTCGGCCATTTTGGCGCAGATGAGCTCCTTGCGTAGTTTCTCCGTCTCGGCCTCCCGCTTGTCGTTCTCCACCGTCAGCTGGTGAACATAGAAGTCGGCGTCTCGGATCTTCTTCTCCAGGTCATGCTTCTCACGCTCGATCTTCATCTGGCGCTCGCGCAGGCGGTCCATCTCTGTCTTGAAGTGGTTGGCCTTACATTCGGTCAGCTGCATCTGCTCCTCGTTGACCCGGCTCTTCTCGAAGTACAGCTCCTTGGTCTCCTCAGAGCGGCGCTAAAAAGAAGTGTAAAATCTCTCTTAGAGATCGGGCAATGATTGCGGAAAGGGAACACCTACCAGCGCGTCGCTGGCAATGCGCATCTCGTTCTGCAGGTGCTCCAGGCTCTTCTCCAGCTCGTAGCGCTCGTGCTCCGCCTTCTCGCGCAGTTTCTTCTCTCTCATGAACTTCTTTCGCTCGATCTGGCGTCGCTGCTTCTCCTCCTTGGCCTGGGCCTTCATCTGCTGGATTTCCATGGTGTCGGGCTTGCGGCGCCGCATATACAGATCGTGGTTGCCCTTGCACAGGTCCAGTATCTGCGAAGGAAACCAGGCAATCATATGAATATCCTCCGCCTCCCTTCCAGCAGAACCACTCACCATCTTGTTAATGTGCAGGTCCTGGGAGTAGAAGATAAAGTTCGATACCTTGGCGTCCACCAGGCGAATAGTAAACTTCTTGTCATCGAAGCTCACGTGCCGTATCTCGTTCCACTGGAACGTCGTCTTTGGCGTTAGCTTGTCGCGTTCGTCGTAGATGTTCAGGCCCACGGCGGTGACGCCCAGCCACAATTTGGTTTTGTTCTTATTCTAAACGAGAATCAGTCAGGAGGAAGGGCAGGTCAGGACAGGACCGGACACTCACTGTAATAGGAAAGTAGTTGACGCCGTACATGTCCAGGTCCTGGGCAATCTTCAGGTACTCCAACTCCACCTCATCGCGCGTCATGGGCTCGTGGTCCATGTACCTAGCGGGGGACCATTTTCTATCAGCTTGAATCCCAGCTAAGCAGATGTACTTACCAGGTCTTTATGCGCACCTCCCACATCTCGGGCGTCATCTGGTATTGATCTGTCACGCCCTTGGGCAGAAGCTCGCCGCCGGCCAGCATGCCGTCCTTGTAGCTCTCGTAGTCGTACGGTCCGTACTGCACATGCACCGCGTACGAGGCCAGCAGCACGGACGCCTCCGGACGGCAGTATATGTCCATCGAAAGGATGCTCTGTTTTACTTGTAGGAAGAACAGGTGCTGCGTGATCTCCTGGATCAGCTCCTCGCTGACATTCTCCGGAAAGAACTTTGCGTAGAAGCTAAACACATACACATTGTTGTTGGCATGCAGCTCCACCCGCTGGTCGCGAACACGCTTGTCCATCTTCAGCCACGAGACGTTGCTGCGCGTGTCCACATACTGCAGGCCGAAGTACCAGGACTCGCGCAAGCCAATGGTGCGGCAGACCAGGTCAAACAGATCCTGGCCGGAGGCTCGCGGCTCCAGCTTGAACTCCAGCTCCGAGTCGAAGGTGCTCACCCGTACCGACAGCGAGCGGTTCTTCTTGGAGCCAAACGGGCTCATCGCGCCCTCTCGATTATATGATGCAGTGGCTGCTCGGGGAACTGTTTGGTTTCTGATGCTCAGTATGATTAAAGTGATTCTGGTTGTGGTTCTGTGATGTGCGTATTGTGATAACTTGTTGCGTGCAGTGACTTGTTGCAGCTGCCGCTCCTGCTGCTCCCTGTTCCTGGGGCCGCTAGTGATCCGCTTCCTGGCTGCTGCTGCTGGTGCTCCTGCGACCCTCAGTAGTTGCACACTTCCACCTCCACTCGCACTCGCGCTCGCACATATTGCAGCCAATTGGGTTGCCTCGGGGCAGTGGCAATGGCGATTTCGGGCTGAAGGCTGCGGCTGCGAGAGAAAGAAAGAATCAGTGACAACGTTTATGCGTCGCGCGCATGACGTACTGTGCTGGGTCGGGGTACTCGGGGGGCAGAGCGAGGGTGGTGGGCCAAGGCTAGTTGAGATTATATCCAGTTAAGGACTTATATTTTTTTTAGCAATGCCAACTGACATTAATTCAAGCTCTTCTTAAAAGAGATGTTGTGAGTTTGCGAAGAGCGTCGCATAAACGCGGACAGTGTGACCAGCCGTGGGGTAAGTAGAAAGCCTTGCCCAACAACCCTCCGACCAAATACCGAGCATTGTGAATATAAACTCGGACTTAAATTCTGGGTTGTCGGACGTAAACAAATTATTTCGTTTGCCCTTATAACTGCCTCATAGGCTAGAGGCGTAAGCACACTCCGATGACTCATAGCCAGTGCTACTACTGGGACTGGAACCAGTGCTGCAAACCGCATACTTCCCACTGAGCGCCAAATTCAAAATTCAAAACTCCATAAGAAAATTTCTAAGAATAATCGACTAACCGTAGCAGTTTATAAATACATGAATTAAATATACAGCTCGTAGATGGCAAGACCTAGATTACATGTGCGTGTTTGGGGAAGTCCCGGCTCCACCGTGACGATGTTAATGCTCTCTAGTTTCGAGTTTAGAATGCCTATCACACAAACGCAATCGCAGAGTTGTCTCCTGTTCCATGCACAATACAATAACGAAGGATGTAAACTACAAATAAACTAGGACTAAACGTGTTTGTACTCGGACCCATCCTGCGACCTGAGCCTCGAACCCGGCCGCAGCCCGCATCCTGCGACCCGAGCCTCGATTGGCACTTGACGGGCGGCACCCCAATCCGCCGCGATTCGAGAGTCGATGGCCTTCGTCCACCGATCCTGCGCAGCTACTGGTTGCTGCGCTTCATCCGCTCAATGTGTAGGTCGTAGAGCATCTTGTTCTTCTCGTAATAGTATGGATTCTGCTCGGCCCCCAGCTCCGGATTGTATTCGTTCACTGGCGGGCCAATCACCACGGCTGCTCCTCCGTCGCCACCTGATCCCCGATAGTTGTTGGTGTCGCCGTTGCCCAGGGGCGGAATGCTGCAGCTGCTGCTGCTGTTGCTGTTGCCGTCGTCATAGTTCAGGTGCAGATTGTTGATGCGCTTCGAGAGAGGCGTGGACTCGCAGGGAAGGTCATCCTCTCGGCTGCGCTTTCTGTGCGGAGATCAGAGTTGAAGCAATAAGAACGCAGTAGTCCCTGTTACCAATTGCGTCGCACCAGCCCCAAAAACCAAAAGGATTCGGCAGGCAGGGGCGGGCGCATGGGACACGGATGGAGGTGCGCGTGTGGGGCGTTGGTTTCCACTTACCTAGTCTCCAAAAATCCAGCCATTCCGTTCGGTGGCCACTGGCCAGCGAGATGGATCGGGTCTATTTGCCTATTGTGTTTTGGCCTCCTCTCGTTCCTTCTCGCGTTCCTTCTCACGTTCCTCTTGTTCTGTGGTGACAGTATGACCAGACTGAGTGCGCACTGCTGAGTCCAGACCGTCTCTGGAAATTTGGTATGGTGTTTTTGCGAATCTGGCGACCACGAGCAGGTGTTCCCCATTTCCATACCTGCGGCAATTAGGGCTAATCTGTCAGTTCGGATGGCAAATCGTTAATTTGACAGGAGCAAACTGCGTTCCAGAAAATACCAACTCACCGGGTGGAAGCTAGCAACGAGGTGGCAACGCCGCGGCTCGTCACTCGCACGCATACAGCTCGCTGGAAAGAGAACACGAACACACAAAAGAAAATAGTAGTTTTCCGTACAAATCGAGCCCGACCCAGCCCAGAAAAGCGGAAAACAAAACGGACTCGTTAGCGTCTGCAATTGCTATTAACTGTAAGTAGAAAATAACCGCAGGGCGCCGGCGAGGAGTGGATTGCCAAGGGCCCAGTTCTGCAAATTGCGGATTAAAAGGAAAGGAGAAAATTCTGAAGAGAAAAGTGAACGAAAACGACGTTATCGACGACCGCTGCGTGACTGTGTATGTGAGTGTGCTCGGTGTGTTGGTGTGAGTGTGTGACAAATGATTGGTTCCAAATTTCATTCTTTTTACGCTGCGAATGCGACACTGAATTGTAAATAATTCCCCCTGCTTTCTATTAATTGCAGGCGGCGGCAGCAGCAGCGTAGTCCCGTGCCTTGCCGAAAACAAGTTTACACCAAACACACACACACATCTGTCGGTGTTCTGCTGCTTCTGCTGCTGTGTCCAAATAAATTAGCATATTGCCAGTTGCAGTAAAACTGCATTTTGAGCGCAAGAACCGCACCCACACCAGTGCAGTTGGAGTTCGAGTTATGCGAAGACTGCCCTGTACGTGTGCCTATGCGTTTGAGTGTGTGCGTGCGTGTGTATGTGCATGTGTGTCACATTAGAATTTTCTGCGCTTATCTGCGTCTGTGTGTTGTTGCCTTCGGTCCGTCCGTTACTCTTCTTCTTGTTCTGCTGCTTCTTCTTCGGCTTGAGTCATCGCCCAGATACCCTACCCTGCATAGAGTAAGATAGATAAGGGGAACAAAAGCGGGCAAAACGAGTCCGGCAGGAGCTGCAGGACCGCACCCACGACACTCCCCGGCCGATCGCTCCAGGAACAAGTAAATAACTAACTCCCTGCTCTTTGCCTTCCCCTCTCCGCAGGAGTTCTCCGTAGCGTGCTCTCACCACAACAGAACATGCAAACCATCAAGTGCGTGGTCGTAGGCGACGGAGCCGTGGGTAAGACCTGCCTGCTCATCTCGTACACAACCAACAAATTCCCCTCGGAATACGTGCCGACCGTCTTCGACAACTATGCTGTGACGGTGATGATTGGCGGCGAGCCCTACACACTGGGCCTGTTCGATACAGCCGGCCAGGAGGATTACGATCGGCTGCGTCCGCTCTCCTATCCGCAAACGGACGTCTTCCTTGTCTGCTTCTCGGTGGTCAGCCCCAGTTCCTTTGAGAACGTCAAGGAGAAGGTAAGGATTGTTCTGTATGCCATGGCCACCACACTAACCATGATTCTCCGCTTTCAGTGGGTGCCCGAGATCACACACCATTGCCAGAAGACGCCGTTCCTGCTGGTGGGCACACAAATCGATTTGCGCGACGAAACCAGCACGCTGGAGAAGCTGGCCAAGAATAAGCAAAAGCCAATCACCATGGAGCAGGGCGAGAAACTGGCCAAGGAGCTGAAGGCAGTCAAGTATGTGGAGTGCTCGGCCCTGACGCAGAAGGGCCTAAAGAATGTCTTCGATGAGGCCATACTGGCCGCATTGGAGCCGCCAGAACCGACCAAGAAAAGGAAGTGCAAATTCTTATAATTCGGTTTTCCTTTCTCTTCTGTCTGTCTGTCGGTAAACATGCGTTTTCGTATCCCTTCCACTCTTGCTTCTTGCTAACGCCTTCTTCCCAGGCTGCCTGAGGGGTGTTCTTCAATATTTATATATATACATATATATATATATATGTATTATGCTGTATATTTTATACATCTTTATATATATATTGAATCTTGATTGTATTACTCTGCACCCACTGCTGCCCTGAAGCCCAATTCCTCCACACTCTCTTTGTCTCTCTCTATCTCTGTCTATGTAACTGTCGCCGTTTATGTCCCCGTTCCGTTCTGAAACCATAGTTCATAATCCTCAGATCGGTTTTTATGATTTCATATGCTTCTTACTCGGGCACAGCCTTCTTCCGCCCCCTAAAAACTTCCAGAAACAGAGAACGGAATCCGAGTCCCCGAAACAAATCAAAACCGACATTCTTTTCGTTTTTGGCGCAATTTTCTTATTAAGCAAAAAGAGGAAACACAACAACAACAACAATAACAATATAGCGAAAACAAATTATTTATATATATTTCTTTATATATATATACAAGGATTAAGTGGAAAAGTGCGGAAAAGATATAGAAGTATAGAAAACAAACAAAAATAAAGTGAGAACTAAGAAGAAGAACCATGCAATGTTTTGTTTTGCATCATCTGCAATTAAATCGCGATGCGAGTCAGTCCCCAGAGCAACGCGAAAACGTGAGATTTAATAAGCAAGAGCGCCAAGATTGAATGGAAATATTTATATGACGATAACTGTGGCAGGCATAGTGGCGGCGAAAAGAGGAGTGGCCGCTAACGAGCTAATAAAACAAGCGAAGCATATTATGTAATAAAACTAAGAGTATTGAAATATATATATATAATGATTAAAACGTAAATTAAAAGAAGCAAAGCAAGGAAAATGGAAAACCTAAACAGACACAACTGAAGTCTACAATCTATATATATATATATATGTGTGTATGTGTATATAAATATAAATATATATGTGCATACAACATATACATATATCTATGCAAATATTGTATAATCCATAAAGTATATAAACAAATAGAGTTCAGAAAACAACAACAAACAAAAGGAAGCATAGAAGAAAAGCAAAAGGAAAATACGAACTAATGCATTTTTTAATATTTTTATATGTATACATTATCAATTTTTACATTTTTTTTCTAGACCTTAGTGATTTAACATTATTGATTTCAGATAATATCTTATAATAAAACGAAATCCAAAACGAAATGAATCCGAAAACCTCTTTCGGGGTCTCTTTCGAGTGGGGGGTTGTGTCAGCCAAAGCAAATAAATTTGAAAAAGGTTGAAATTAATTGCGATTTGGATCTCTCTCCTAGCTGATAAGACATCGGTAGGCCTGTGACCACATATATGTAAGTTAAAATTAAGAAACTGCTACAATAGGCCCATCAACAGAGGCGGTACCATCCCAGGACATTGTCGCATCTCACGACTAATTTGGCTTACATACCGGCATTCTCTGAAAAAAAAAACATCTGCCAAGATTTAATTTTAACATTTATTTACAGAATCTCCCATCTATAAAGTAATAGAATGGCAAACCATCATGCTTTTCATCTCAAGCACACGTTTCTTCTAATCAAAAAGCCATAGAAAATAGCTAACGAGGCATGCCAAAGCCATACAGATACTGTCCACATCGTCGCCAAAGCCTCAGCAGCAGCCTTTCTGCTTGATGGGGGACATGGACGGGCCAGGAACCCAAGTTAAAGTCTTATATCAGTCCAGCGGCTGTACCCACTTGCACTTAATGTGGGCGGCGTTCACATCCGCTTCGAGGGAATTGGCAAAGCCGGCGCTGCCCTGGACATCAATGCTGTCGTAGTCAAAGCGCAGGCAGCTCTCTCCGGCCTGCAGCAGCTGCTCGACACCGTGCCAGGCGATCATCACGCCATTGTCGGAGCAGTAGCGTTTGGCGGGTCGGAAGCTGCGGCAGTTGTACTGCTTAGCCAGGTGCTCCATGTTCGCATAGATGGCATCGTTGTTGGCCACACCGCCGGATACGACCAGCGTAGGCGGGGCGTCGCCAAACAACTGGACGTTCGGCTGCAGGCAGTACTCCAGCGCCCGCTGGGTACGATGCATCAGGTGGCGGCTGCAGGCGCGCAACAATCCGGCACAAAAGTCGCCATAGTTGCTGATGACACCGTCCGGAGGCGTTTCCTCCATCCGCTCGCGTGCCCTAATGGCGCGAAACGAGTTGTTCTTGATGCCCGCAAAGCTGAAGTGACAGTTGCGCTGCTGGGCCAACGGCAGAGGAAACTCGTAGGCCAGCGGTTGACTGGCCAGCCGGGCGGCGTGCTCGATGGCCCGTCCGCCATTCCACAGCCTATACTGGGGCAGAACGTGTAGCCGCAGGCGGCGGGCGATCTTGTCGAAAGCCTCGCCGGGTGCATCGTCCAGCGTCTGGCCGAGGAGCGACAGGCGACCAGGACCACGAACCATCACCAGCTGGCAGTGTCCGCCGCTCACCAGAAGGCAGAGAAACGGAAAGCTAATGGTGGCCGGCTGCTCCATGCGTGCCTGCAGTGCGTGCGCCTCCATATGATGCACGGGCAACAGGGGCTTCTTCAGGCGGCGTGCCAAGTGCCGGGCGAAGCGCAATCCAACCAGCAAGCTAAGCGGCAGCCCGGGACGCGTGGTCACGGCAATGGCCGTGAGTTGGTCCGGCTGCAGCTGCGCCTCCGCCAAGCAGCGGTCGTAGGCGGATTCGATGCGTGCTCGGTGCAGGTCCTGGGCCCGGGGTGGAATGATGCCGCCATAGCTTCAGGGGATAAGCGAATCCTGTTCAACTCATTGAATATACTGACATGTATCGTCCGATGGCACTTACCGGGTGTGGAACTCCTGCTGGGACTCCAGCACGTTGGCATGCACGCGACCATCGGTGTCCACGATGGCGAGGCCAGTGTCGTCGCAGGAGGTCTCTATGCCCAGGACATAGCTAAGGTGGCGTCCGGAGGGGCCCAGAAGTGGCCAGCCAAACCCCTTTCCCAGTCCGGTTCCGGTCCTGAGAGCTGCAAGCATAATGATGCCGCCAGTGTTGTTGGGTGGTTACGTTTTTTGAACAGCTGACTAAAACCTAACGGTTCGATAACATCGATGGAGCTGTAAAAACATCGAAATATCGATAATATCAATACCCTTGAATACCGCCATTTCAATTTTGAATGTTGCCTTTTTGTTTTGAATAAATTGGACGACTACTTAATTACTTTACAGTAAACAATTTTCGTAGTCTAACATTTACGAAAAGTATTGCAATACTTTATTGATACAAAATTTTCGTGCCAGCCTCGTAAGACGTTTTTAATCTATGGCATCTGGTTTTTCTGTTTCCGGTTCGGCCATTTCCTTCGGTGCTGTCTGGTCATCGGCAGCATTCACCAAGGTTTCGTTCACCGGAACCTCGTCCACAGCTGTGGGTGCCTCGGTCTCTGTTCCCGCATCCTTGCTCTTTTCTGGCAGATCCTCGGAGCACAGCATGGATACCAGAAGGTGCTCTGCGAAAAGGGCATGCTGCCGCTTTGTATTGGTGGCGGTCCTCTCAGAGTCCCGGCGGAGGCGTTCTTGCTCAGTGATCCACGGCTTAAGGAGAAAGCCCTGGTTATACCGGCTGGCTGATGCTGATGGTAGCACGTTGGGTAATGTCTCTTTGCTCTTTGAATTATCGGCATCGAAGGCCCGGATGGCTGAATTTTTCCTTGACAACAGTTGGCGTCGCAACTCCAGACCCTGGAAGTCAGTGCAGTGGATGTCCCGGTGCCGCATTGTCCCTTTGGCGGTCTCTGTGGGTTCGGCGGTCGGTTGTCCCATTCTCCCTCTCAGACTGATTGGAAATTTGTGAAAAAGTGACTAAAATTTCTATAGCACCGATTCGAAGCAACTGACAGTAAACGCAGAGATTGAAATAAACGAAATTGTGATTGACATTTATTTAAAGGTACTGAGGTAAATCCCAAACAAATTCCAACCAAACAATGCTCAAATATATTAATTTTTTAAATGCAAATAATTCATTTTTACATAAATATTTGTATACATATAAAATATTTTAATAATTTACTACTATTAATAATTTAATTTGCCATCAACGCAAGGGCTCAAGGTTGAATTGCGAGCTTAACTACTAATAAAACTAATAAGTGTTTTTTTTTTTATAAATGACGGAAAATAATCATTTGAAAGCTCGGCATACAAAGCTTTGGGTTGGAGCTGAAAGCACAACAGCTTACCCGCAAAGCTGAGTAACAGATGGCGCAAGTTGGTCCTTATTTTAAATTATATTCCAATATGAATTTTAATTGTGAAAAACATAAAATAAGAATAAAAAACAAGGCTTTAGTTGATCTTAATATTTTCAGTTCAAATACATATATTGCCCGATATCCTTTGACTTAATGACTCTTTGAGAGCAGCGATCAAAATAACTCTTGGGTTTTGTTTGATTTTCGGGGAACAAAAAAAAAAAAAAAACTATTATTTAAATTTTTTATGCAGAACAAAAACTTGCCTGCTGCCGATTCAGAAAAGGACAAGAAAATATAAACAATAAAACGTGTTTATTGGCGTCTAAATAAAAATGTTTATATGTTTATTTAAGGCTCAACAAAATTGTTTTATTGCTTGACAGTTGTAATTGGTTTTAGCATTCATTTCCAGACATTACAACTATATTTATGGTTGTTATTATTCAGCTAGCCAATAGTTTCTTCATTTGTTTGCAAATTAAATTGAAAATTAAGTCAATTTATTTAATTTTTTTAATAAATTAAAAATGTTATATGTTAAATGTAATATTTAATATAAGCCAACAGAGAATTAAGAACGAAAGGTAATATAAAGTTTGTCAGAAGCTAGTAAATGCAGGTGAGGGGCTCATTTCCCACCCTATAAAACATATATGTATATCCCTGATCAGCTTTCCATCTAGTTTTAAGGAGGTATAAAGCCAAGTTTCTTTGTTGTTATTTTTCGGTAAAGGCCTACCTGAGCGGTCCAGTCGCTCCTCCTGGCATCCTGCGAATCCAGCATCCTTTGTGTAATTGCACGTTGCGGCACGCGAAATTAAACAGAGATAGCTCGAGTGGAGCCAAAGGGGCAGGGGGATGAGCAGATAATGAAGCCAGCAGAAGAGGGCGGCGGAGGCCAAGACCCAGTGGGAGCCAGAGCTCGAGGGGCTAGCTAAATGCCGAAAGAATGACAAACGCCCGGAGGACGCAGCACCCCGTCCCCGGGATAACTTTTCCGAGGAGCTGGGGGAGAGAGTGTCACATCTCCCGGCGTTGTCTATTGTTCCCAGAAGTGTTTTTATTTAGCCCGACCAGCCCTTGAGGAGGTCTAAGGAGCTGGGGCCATACTCCTCCTTGGCATTTTCGCCGACTTTACGTTTGTTTTATTATCTTTTATTATTGCCTTTGCCGCTTTTGTCTAATTTCGCTGTTGTCTTTTTCTGGCCTCCTCGCCACGCCGTTCACCTTCCCCCTCCGCGCTCCCCTGGTGCTAAATTGGCCGTTAAGATGCTAAAGATGCGGATTTCGGTGATTTACCAACTGAGTTGCCCCTGCCCGAGTTGTTGTCCTGCCACCGAGGGCGGTACCATTAGCCTTTTAGCCGGGCTCCCGCTTCTGGTGTTTCTGGTGTTGTAGAATAAGCAGCAAATCTTTGTTTATAAAGTCAATAATTATTATTTTAATTAATTACAAAATTATTAAATATACCCAAAATATAATAACTATTTAGTAGGCAATAAAATATATATTATATAAAATAAGATGCATATAGTCATGCAAATTTTTGGCTCTAGAAATTAACATTTTTGCACAGAAAAAATCAAATCAAATTTCCCTAAATTAATATTAAAAATAAAACTTAAATTGTATTTGAAAACCTTAACAAATGTTTTAGTTAAATTACAAAATACAAATAAGACCCATTAGTCCAAAAAAGAAGCTGTCCCTGTGTTGAATTTTTCCTTCTTTGGCCAAGAGTACACCTCCAGGAATCCTTGGTGCCCGCGTCCTGGCCAAAGGCTTTTGTCATTTTATGTGTCCCCCTTTGTTGTCCTGTTTTTGCCGTGCCTTTTGTCTGGCCGGGCTTTGTTTTGGTTTCCTTGGGGCCCCAAGAAGTTGTGGCGGAAATCGCGCTAATTTCGCCGCCTGCCCCTGAAAGGAGATAGAAGGGATGACTATCCCCCCCCCTTTTGGAGCACTTGGTTTTGGCCACAAAACTACCGTTATTGCGGCAGGCCGACGACAGATGGGATCGGATTGATTGCGGCCAGACGCGGAAGTGGATGCGGATGGCATTCGATGTTCGCTGTGTTCGGTGTTTGATGGTCGGCGGGTAAGGGTTAAGTGGGGTTGGCCGCCTGGCTGGGGGTGGTCAGACGGAATCCATTTCCCGCTCCAAAGGGCGCTCAGGCTTCATTAGCTGCGTTTTTCTGCGGGCTGCATACCCTTGCCCTGGATGATGTTCCTGCTCCTGCTTCTGCCGCTGCTCCAGGACTGACCATGTGACGGTGTTGATTTTCACACAACGCAGCGTGAAATTAGAAATGAACGGCAAAGGTCCTGTCGCAGTAGTAAGGATTTCGATGTGGGGGTCGGGTTTAAGGGTCAGGTGACGCGACGCGGCAAATCAGTTGCTGCTGCATTTGGCGATTTTGCGGTTTCCTGTTGGCCTCCTGACGTCGTCCTCGCCATCGTCTGCCGCTGACAGACCAAATTAAAATGTCCCCGAATGCAGGGGTGCGGGAGAGAGCCCCGACCATGTCTGCGTGTCACTTAATGACCAATTTGCCAGCAACAGTCGGGAGATTTGGGTGTCGAGACGGAGGCCTTTGTGGATCCACAGCTGTCACTGCGATAAATCTTCAAGTCAAGGAAAAATCGCAGCATTTAAAACGCGGCCTCCGCACCGATAAGCACCACTGACAAGGCCAACAATCGCTAGGAGAATTACAACATGTCGCAGTTTGTTCGGAATTTGAATAAATTTCGAATTCGTTAGCACGCTCCCAGCCCCAGTCCCCAGTCCCCAGTTCCCCGTCGCGGCAAAAAGTTTGCGCTCAGCTACAATTAACTTTTAAGTATGCCATTTCACAGATACCGCAGATATCGTCGCGATATAAAAAGCCGTATGCAAAGTCGTGCATCCCCAGCCCCTGGTGCCGTGCCTCCTAGAACAGCGGACGAGGTGGTTGAAGTTGCCAGCAGCAGTTGAAGAATAATTTCGTGCCATTTATCATGTCGCACAGTGAGCACAACAGGGAGCATAAGCAGGACGAACAGCAAATACCCTGCTATATTTTCAGCATATCAATATATCAGAACTGTAAATAATATATAAATATTTATGAAGAGCCAAACAAATATACAGAAAAATAATATTTAAAATAATTTTATATACCACAAAATGTACCTTATTTATCCGTTATTCAAAAGACTCCTTGGAAGAGCTCTTCGAAACGAAGTGCGTGTGATTTCCTGTTCCGCTTTTCCGGCGGCCATGTCGAATTTTAGCATAAATATCGAGAGCTGAAAGCAGAAAGGCCGGAAACTGGGGGCGGCAGGCAAATCCCAAAGACAGCTTGCTAATCGCCAGCCATTTATCTGGCCTAATGAAATTTGCGAGAAATCAAATCGGGCTGGCCACAAGCGGCCACTGATCCCGAGGCCCAGGAACCCCAAGTCGTCACGTGGGCAATTAAGCTGATGCCTTTTTGAGGGATTCTTTTCAAGCCGCGAGCTGCGAATTCCGAGTGGCGAGTGACGAGTTCCTGGCGCTAAAGAGCATCCGGGGAATTGGCTCTCCTTCTTCTCGGCTGACATCATCAATCATTTAGCTTTAGGAATACATAGAGCCACTATCAAGTGAAATTTGAGACTTCAAGCTTACCCGAGTAAACGATCTTATATTATTTTTCTAAAAACTATCACATTTTGCGTTGTGATCCAAGTGGGACCTGGATTTCCTTTGATCAACTTGTCAGGGCTTGGATTGGGTGAAAATCAGTTTCTTTACAGCTAAGCTTGTGTTCACATCGGAAAAGGTGAAAAAAACCTGAATAATAGTGCGTACTTTTTTGCGTTACAAAATTTAATTACCTTTTTCGAGTTTTTTTTTTTGTTTTTCGTTACAAAATTTACCAGGCTTTTTTCCGACAGTTTGTTTTTTCAACGTTTTCGAAGTGAAGACTAAGCTGGGCCACTTATCCTTGGAAGTTGACAGCGAGTGTTTTTTTTTTACGATTTTTTGAAAGCGACGAGAGAACTGGTCGATTTTTGATACTTAAAAGAATCGGTGGACCTGTGATCCAGCTTCAGGTAAGTGAAATTTGAACAGTGTGCTTTAGAGTCCTGCGTCCTGCTGTCTGTGTCCCTGTGTCTGGCCTCGGGGAAACCGTAACTAAACATTTGCATTAGGGGCTAGTGGCTGAGGCAACCGCTAAACAGCCAGCCGCGCTCTAAATGTAAACAGTTTAAATGACATCTGGCGGGGATTCGGGTGAGGAGGAGGAGGAGGACCAGGGGGACGTGGGGTTTTCTGCCTGTCGCTTAAATAAATTTTGCGGCAAATCGCAAAATCGGAAAATCGCCAAAAGGGCTGGGCCCCGTGGCCTGTGTGGTCCGTGGCGTTTCCGCAATTGGCAATCGACGCCGCAAATCGCGTTTTAAGCCCTGCGTGCGATTAGTTTAATTGCCATCGTTGGTGCAACAGGAGAATGCGCCGCATTTGCATAGCGGTTGCTGTGGTCCTGCGTCCTTGCATCCCTGCAATAGCTCCTGGAAGTGTGAAGTGGGGTGGAGTGGCGACTCGCGCTTAATGCGAAAATAAGGATTAACCAATGAAATTTATAAATGCGCAGCCAGGCCAGGCCAGTCCAGTCCAGTCCAGTCCAGTCCAGTCCAGTCCTTGTGCCTGCAAATTGAGTGCATAAATTGGCCGCATCGTCCGTTTGTCCTTTGCAGGATGCGAGGCGGTAGCGAAAAACATGCCAGGGGACAGGCAATCTATTTTGGATTAAATCAAATCGAAATAAACGATTTTTAATGGCCTGTTGCCCCTGTCCACCATGTCTGCTCCGTGTGGCACAGTGGCAAAAACGAGGTCATTAATTATTTCTTCAAAAGCAGAAGATAAGCCCAGGGCAGTTAACCCACTCCCCGGCATCGATTTGGTGCCGGGTTCGCATCCTTTTTGGCATTTTGTGTCATTAGCCTAAAGCCAGGGCTGCTAGCTGGCATTCTGACTTGGTTAAATCCTGGGATATTATGGCAACTAACTGGCATAATTCAAAATCGGAAGCTGGCTATAATGGATTTTATAAATTAAAATATTTAAATATTAAAATTAAAGTACAAGTTTGTTTTCTAATTTTTAAATGTCCTGCAGCCCTGCCTAAAAGCCAGTGGCCAAAGCCAAAAGGACACAGGACAATGGTCAACCACACACACATACACACTAACGCACACGCAGCATAAGCGTTATCCTCGATGGCGGCCGCATGTGGCACCAGGAGATTAATTAATCTTCAAGGACTCATTGTGTGTCTGCCCTGGTTGGCACTGCCCATTCCGAGTGGCTCATTAGGACACTCGGCCATTTGCATGTGCAGCGAGGCAAAATGAATTTATGGCCTGGTCAAAAATCCCGGAATCCCCATTCCAGCTTCCTCTTTTTTTTTTTTTTTTTTTTTTTGTTTCTGCTTGTTAAGCTCGGCATTTGTCACGGGCCAGGCCAGTCCAGTCCGGGTTCCCTTCCCCCTCTGGGCATTTATTTTGATTAGACTTCGACATTCGTTTCTATTTGCCGGCTCCTTATCGTAATCCGTGGCCATTCTCCGACAGATATGCTGCCGGATTACTTACATAGTGCTGCCCCGGGGATTCCCCTGCTCACATGAAATATTCACAGCTGATTATTTCGGCCAGGTTAATGGATTCCAAAGCGCCAGGCTATCGTTCCTTTGATGCACACATTCCCCTGTTATTTATTAGCCCGCACACGTGAATTATAGCTGCGTCTTTGCGAGTTTTCCAACTCTTTGAATTTGATTTGAGACTTGGAGACTAGCAAACTGGGACTGGGACTCACCTGGGGGGAGGTCACATTTCCTGGAGATAACTGTGGAGTGAGGCAAAAGCCAAGGACACTGAGATTTGGTTTTAGTTTAGAGATATTTATTTATTACACGGGATGATCCGGTCCCTATAATTATTATCCTTTCAGTACATCAATTTTTGTTGATAATTAATTATGAAAAACTTGTAAAAATAGTTAACATTCAGCCAAGATCTCCCCAGCCACCCAAGGACTATTAATGGGAACTTTGTTTAACCGACAAGGTGAAATGCCGAAGTTGATTACCAGCTGTGAGTTACGAGCCCTGGTAATGGGCCAAGCGGGTTCGCAGAAGCTTAGGTTCCGCCTCGTTTAATGGACCAAGTTAACGGGGTGGGAAACTAGACCGGGCAGGGACGACGCCACGACACACGTGGAGCGGAAGTCGAAGGAGTTGTTGCTGCTTTGCGGGCTGTTAAAATGATTAATGATGTGTGTGCGGCGTGTGTGTTAACGCCTCGGCGGCTCTCTTACCGGCACAGATGTTGTCATAAATAAAAAGAAGCTGAAAAGCAGATAAAGACGCTCATGGGGGGGCCCAGGACATGGCCAGGAACTCGGTCTGGTCTGGGATGTAAATAAACATACGTGTGGGCGCTGTTATTTATGCGTGCGTGTGGGTGAGGCGAGTCTGTTCGGGCCACATTAATGTCAAATCAGCCGCATAAATTGCGCAAAACGCTCAATTTATTTAACGAGGCGTGCGCGGCCAGGGGGGCGTGGCTGTGACAAGTGTATTTGCCGGTTAATAAATGTCCCGACTGGCAGAGTCCTTCTCTGCTCCCACTTTCAAGTGACAATTGTTCAGTTTTGAAGCCAGCGCCTCCTGGCCAATGTCAATTGCCACATCAATCGATTGGGCTTACTGTGCCGCCGCAATCCTCCGTCTCGAATCGAAGGCAATCGCAGTAGATCCTTTCGATATGACCGCCAAAAGGGGCCAATAAAAATTGTAAATCCCAGGCGGGAAAACGGGGTACCAATGGCAGTGACTGGAAACAGGAATTAGGCCTTCTTTTAGACTTAAATAAAATCGATTGAATGTTGAATACTAATTGGATCTTTTACAAGTCTTAACAAGGAATTTATCAAAACTGAAATGTCCTGTTTAAAAGTATACAATTCATTTTTATGTGAATTTTGTAGAGCAACCTCCGCGTCGCATACTCTTTCTACGCTTTTCGATTTGCTTGTTTCGCGTTTTGTTTCGCTTTGCTTTGCCATTTCCACTTCTCGCACGGACGACGACGTGCCGGGAACATCAAGGAAGAGGATGTGTGTGTTGTGTGCCTGTGTGTAGGTGTCAGGGGTGCTGTCCTGGGCCAGGAGCAGAGCCCTCCTCGCCAGGATTGCATATTTTGCTGCCTCACGAACATGAGCGCTCGTTAAACGGATGAGTTAAAAGTCAAAAGCCCTAAAGGATTTTATTTGAATTGCGGTCTGCGCCGCCGTTCGACGTCGAGTCGTCCTGGCCACCACCACCACCAGCAACCAGCCCCAGCCCCTGCTGCTGCTCCTTGTACCCCTTTGTGTGCCATGTTTTATTTAAAGTTTATCTTCGCCGTCGCGTTCGCGCCAAGGAGAGCTTGCAAAAAAAATATATGCGCAAAATAAAATGTGGAAAATATTTTTTCGGCGCAAGATGGATAGAACAAAAGGGTTTCGCTTGGTCCTTCGTCCGGGCCTTCGTCGGCACGTCGCCGTTTCAAAGCCGTGTTGAAAAATATTTGAAATAATTGCAAAAATGTTTTCCCAGCACCGACACCGCCGGGGTGTTGCTGTGGATATCCTGGGCTCGCCCAGGACATTGTCTTGCCATGCAAAGCACGTCTGCTGCAGCCACTGTAGAATCCCTTGGAGGGCAGGGGCCTGATCCCCGGCTAGAAGGGTCCACGGAGGCAATAGCACTTGTATCGAATCGCAGCTAAAGCGATATACAATTTATTTTTTGCACAGCACCAAGGAGTATCTTCGTCTTAACCAGGGAGCTAGAAAAAGTTTTGAATCGATAATTAATCCTTGAAGCATCGTAGAAGATGCCCTCCTCGAATATTTCCACTAATTAGAACCCTTTCCGGTTCCCCAGCATGACGGATCCTGACCGAGGTGTAGGCGTTCACATGGACCAAGAAAATGGAACAAGCCAGGAGGAGCCTGACGAGTTGTCTAGAGAGGAAGAACCGGATGATCTCCCGGGTAATCTGTCAACCGAATCCCAAGAGACTGTGAAGGCGCGCGAGTCCAGCGCCAAAATTACCACCCACAACAACAAGATGTCGCCCGACGCACCCGTCTTCTATCCCAGTGGATCCTATGCCGCCCACCTGCTGGCACAGCGAAAGACACCGGCCCCCACTTCTTCGGCATCGTCGACCTCGTCTCTCAGCTGGTGGCCCAACCTGTCGCCGGTGGCACGGGAGGTTCTGGAGACGGGCACCGGTCCCTACATTGGTCCCGACAAGGATCCCTTTTGCCTGCGAAATCCCCACTATAACGGCGGCCGTTCCGGCGACGATACAGAGCGCAACAAGAACAGCTTTGGTCTGGGTATGCAATCCGACGTCGGTGCATCGTATGGATGCCAGCGGGGAGACGGGAACACAGAAGCCCCTGGCGAGGATCGGCAGGCGGGGGATATGGCGAGGACACCGACGCCGCCGACATCGCCGGCGCTGCCCCCCATATCACCGCCAGAGCTACAAACGCCTTGGCGGCGTCCGCCCTACAGCCTTCCCAGCTGGTTACTCGAGGACGAAGCTACCGAGTCCACGCAACAGCAGCAGGAGCAGAAACAGCAGTGGCATCATCCGATCCCCGGATCGCCTCGCTTCACTCAATCATTCCCGACTGACGCGGCTCCGGCGTTGGGGCCATGTGGCGTGTCGCGTGCCGAGTATTTGGGAACCCTGCGGAACCTTCTGGTGCGCGCCAACGAAATGATGGCGCCCCTGATCCACGGTCACATCGAGGAAATGTCGCAGATGCAGTTTGCCGCCTATACCAGCGCAATCCTAAGCACTCCGCCACTGCATCCGAGTCTCTTCCTGCCGCCGGTAGAATTTGATCCGCCCTCTACAACTGATGCTCATCCTAATCACTCTCTCGCTTGTCTTCCCCAGGCAATTCCGCGTACGTGGGCCACCACCGGAGTGCTTAACCTGCCCTCCACCCATCCGCACAGCCTCACTCCCGACGATCTGGCCTTTATCCAGGTGAGTTCACGAGTGAATAGGGCAGAGCTTGCGGAAGTGCTATACCGCCACCGATACGATCCCCGCAGTCGCTGCACCCAAAGGCCACTGTCGGTACCCAGACAGAGTTCCGCTGCACTTGCATGCACCTGCCCAACCCCACGGGGACGGGCATTGAGGTGACTGGTCTACGCAGACCTTTCTTTCCGGGTTACGGTGGCGTGTATGAGCCGCGTATGCCGACGCCCAGTGGAGGTCCAGGTGCTGGACCCATGATGAATCCACAGTTCCAGGCCGGATCAGGATCGGGGAACGGTCAGCAGTCGTCCCAAGGCCCCTACACCTTCTGGGGGAGGCCTATGGGTAAGTGTTATTTAAATTATAAGTAAAGCACTTTATAATTCTGCGCTTCCAGCGATGCATCCGCCTCCGACACCACTGCCGCAGCAGCAGCAGCAGCCGCCGCCCATGAATCAGATGCATCAGCCGTACCCTCACCCCGGATTTTCAATTCATCAACAGCAGCAGCAGCAACAACAACAGCATCTACAGCAGCAGCAACAACAGCATTTACAGCAGCAGCAACAACAGCATTTACAGCAGCAGCAGCATTTACAGCAGCAGCAACAACAGCATCTACAGCAGCAGCAACAACAGCATTTACAGCAGCAGCAGCAGCAGCATTTACAGCAGCAGCAGCAACAGCATCTACAGCAGCAGCAGCAACATCACCAGCAGCAACAACAACAGCATCTACAGCAGCAACAGCAGCAGCTGCAGCAACATCTACAGCAGCAACAGCAGCAGCATCATCTACAGCAGCAGCAGCATCTACAGCAACAGCAGCATCTACAGCAGCAGCAGCAGCAGCAGCATCTACAGCAGCAGCAGCAGCAGCAGCAGCATCATCTCCAGCAGCAGCAGCAACAACAGCATTACCCGCCGCATGTTCCCCAGCATCCACTTCCCTTGCAGTCGCCTGGGAACAATCGCTTCCAGGATATGGGTAACGCCCGCTATCAGGATCTATTTGGACCGGTTCGTCTTCAAGAATCGTCCAACAATCGCTTCCAGGACTTTGGCCCAGTGCGCTTTCACGAGCCTGGCAATGGGCGCTTTCAGCAACCAGAGCTAAGCAACGTTCGTTTCCAGGAGCCGGGAAATAATAGCTTCGGCTTTCGAGTTAACTATACTCCTGGCAATCAATTCAATCATTTTACCCAGGTCAATTCGAGCAACCAAGCCGGCCCGGTCCACCAGGGCAATAACTTCAATCAGGGAAATCAGGCTAGCAGCAACTTCAATCAGGGAAATCCGGCCAGCATCATCTTAAATCAGGGAATCCATGGCAACAGCAACTTGAATCATGGAAATCAAGGTAACAACAACTTGAATCAGGGAACCCAAGGCAACAGCAACTTCAGTCCGGGCAACCAAAGCAACACCAATATCAATCTGGACAACCAGAACAACAGCAACATCAATCTGGGCAACCGCTATGGTCCCATTGGGTGCGGTGCTCCAAGCCAATCCAACGCCAGGACTTTCCCGAACAACGTTCAACCTGCTGGGGGTCAGGCGTTTGTGCGGCCCCCGAGCAGCTTGGAGTCAGAGTACTTGTCGAATCTGCTACAGCAGCATTTAGATACACCGGTAGTAATAGAACCGGAGGTGCAGCACCTACTAGAGCTGGAGCTAGAGAGGGAGCTGACAGAACAGCAGCAGAAGCAACAGCAACGCTGCTGTGCAGCGGGGAGCACCAGCGATGCCACTGGAGGCCGGCCTACGGATCCTACGGACTACTCAATCAGCGGCGCCACTGGGGAGCGGGTTCCACCCAGCACCACGGACTTCTCGATCAGTGATGACAGGGACAGCGGGGACACCAGCAGTCCATTGCGTGCTCGGGAGAGTGACGATGTCTTCGATTATGAGGACAACTGTGAAGGCGAAGAAGGCTACTGCGAATCCGCAGGAGAGGAGGAAGAATGCGAGGTCGACGAAGAAGATGGTGACGACGACGACAACGACGACGACAATGACGACAACGATGGCAACGATAACTATAACAACAATAACGACAACAACGGTAACGGTAAAGACACCAATAACACCAATGACGGCAATGACAATGAGAGCAACGAACGCAATAAAAACAATGACAACATTATTGAAAGTAATGACACTAAAGATACCAATAACACCAATAACATTAATAACGCTAACGATAACGATATTATCATTATCACGAATAGCACTCAAAACACCAATGAAACCAATAACATCAACACCAATGACTCAGATGTCTCAAATGACTCCAATGCATCCAATAATACCAATAATACCAACGGCACAAATAATACCAACGGCACAAATAACACCGTTACCTATAACACCAACACCAATACCAACCTCAACAACAATGGCATGAGCACTGACACCATTACCACAGTAAACATCAATAACATGGATACCATCGGCACCGACGCTTACTGCAACAACACTAATAAGAACACGGAAGTCAACCTCACGATCAACGACGAGAGCAAGAAAGAGGATCTGTCGACAATCGAGAATTCCAGTGTTGAGGGCGACGAAGGCATCCCGGAGATCCTCACCTTTACGGCCTCGACTTTCGTGAAGCTCAACCCACCGGAAGTAGAGCCTGATCCCAAGCCAGAACCCAAACGCGAACCTCAGCCCATTGCCGACACCTCCAACAACTTCTGTTTCGGACAGGTGGAGTTCATCAAATACATAATGTCGGAGTCTCCCGGTCCAGTTATACTTCCCGTTGTCAGGCAAGAGGACTACGGAGCCACCTACTTGCCGTGCCCCTGCGCTCAGGGGCCGTCGCAAGTGCGGCCCCCCAATCAGAATCAGAATCTCCATCCCAATCCCGTCTTTCCGATCTCCCAGGACACTGCCCAGGCTGAATGCGCTCCGAACAAAGAAGACTCTCGGCCAGCCGTCCGGGAGCAGCCCATGTACGACCGACCCGTAATGGCTTCCGCCTCGGGGCTGGGTGGTGTCTACTTGGCCCGACCAACGAGCCAACCAGCTCCGCGTAAGTACCTGGTGCGGCAGCGGCCCGTTCTTTTCGAGGTGGGCGGCAACCGCAGCAAAAGCGCCAGTTCCCACATAATATTGCAGAACCAGAACCTGGGCGGCAATGGGAATTTCAATGGACATGGAAACAACCTGAGCACGATCGGCCAAGGACGTGGATACGCCAACAGCAACAGTCTGGACTACCTGAATCTCCCGCAGTCAACCGGCTCAAATCTGGGTGCATTCCAAAATGTATGCCAGATTGTGGGGCAGAACATGTATCACAATCTCGGCCAAAACATGGCACCAAATATGGGGCAGGGTCCGAACATGAGGTCGAATCTATCGCAATCTGGGGTTCAAAACATGGGCCAGAACAAGGTCTCCAGCTCGTCCCAAACTATGCCTCTATACATGGCCAAGAGCGTGAACCCGAATATCGGACAAAACGTGCCCCAAAACTTAATGCCAAATCTATGTCACAACGTTAACGATCACCCGAGCTTAGGCCAAAACTTGACTGAGAATCTGAAGAACGTGCGGGGCAATTCCGTGAACCCGGTGAGCCAGAGCCTAAACCAGAATCTTAACACGAACGTTAACATAAATCCAAACATAAATCCGAACCTAAACCAGAACCTAAACCCAAACCTTATCTCGAACCTTAACAGGAATCTAAACCAGAACCTTAACACGAACCTAAACCAAAATATAAACCAAAACCTAAATCGAAACCTAAATCATAACATAATGTCGAATCTTAGTCCGAACATAAACTCAAACCTTAATTCAAACCTAATCTCGAACGTTAACTTAAACCTGAAGTCAAACTCCATTAACTCAAACCCCATTAAATCAAAACTTAGCCCAAACGATAATTCAAACGTTAATTCAAGCCTTAATTCAAACCTTAATTCCAACCTTAATTCCATCCTTAATTCAAACCCCCTTAATTTAAGTTCCCTTATGTCAATCCCCCTTAACACGAACCGTAACATGAACCTTAACACGAACCTTAACACGAACCTTAACACGAACCTTAACACGAACCTTAACACGAACCTTAACACGAACCTTAACACGAACCTTAACACGAACCTTAACACGAACCTTAACACGAATCTTAACACGAACCTTAACACGAACCTTAACACGAACCTTAACACGAACCTTAACACGAACCGTAACATGAACCGTAACATGAACCTTAACACGAACGTTAACACGAACGTTAACACGAACGTTAACACGAACGTTAACACGAACCTTAACCCGAACCTTAACCCGAACCTTAACCCGAACCTTAACCCGAACCTTAACCCGAACCTTAACCAAAATCTAAATCAAAATCTAAATCAAAACCTAAATCAAAACCTAAACCAGAACCGTAAGACGAACCTTAACACAAACCTAAGCCCGAGCATAAACTTGACCCTGAACCAGAACCGAAACCTTAACCCGAACCAGAGTAACCAGGTGAACCACATGAGCCGTGGAATGGGCGGATTAGGGGTGGGCGTGAACATGCCCGTGCAGAGCCAGACGTTCAGCCCGAGCAAAATGCAGCAAACCAATGTCCAGGATCTGAGCTGGACCCGACCATGGCTGGTCGGAGGTGGACGCGGCAGTATCAACCAGATGAGCCAGCCGAAGAGCAAGTCTCAGATGAGGGAGTCTGCCCCCAGCTTCGTGCCCTCTTCCGTGTTCGTTCCTGGCGGCGCTTCCGTTTCCAGTTCCGACTCCTTTACTGCTTCGCGCCCGGCTTCTAGCTCCTCCGTTTCCTCGACCGCTCACTCCTCCTGCTCGATTCCAGCTACCGGTTCAGGAGGTTCCCTCATCTTCTCAAATCCCGATCCCGACGTCTTTCCCGCTGTCAATGCCTTGAGAAGGAGCCGACGCAGTTCCGCCTCAACGCCGATTTCCGCTTTGCAGGAGCCATCGATTTCAGTAGCTGCCACTCTATTGCCGACACTAGACCCCAAGCCCCAGGCGCCACCAGCCTCACGTCCAAAGAAAGTCACCTACGCTTCGGTGTTGCAGTAGAAAGGAGCCATCTTCCTGGAGCGCAACACAGATCACGGGACCAATTCCAGCGAAATTCTAGTCTAAATTATATGTTTTGTTACCTGGACAAAGTACAAAGATGTTGTAATAAAATACACACATGAGACACTCCCTCTTGCTCGCATCATATGTTTGCTGCAGGATCTTCAAGGATGACTCTCTGGGGAGTAAGACGCCGCCGCCGTCGCCGCCTCTGGTTGCTGCGGAATTCGGTAAGCTCCCGGCTGCGGTCATTCCATATTCATATAACGATGTGCGAATTGCAAATCACGGCATTAGCTTCGGGTAAAGGAGGATGAAGCAGGCCCTTGCCTTGAAGAAAATATGTGTGTGTGTGTGCCGTAGAATTCTCAAGTGGCCGCTGCCCCCGGAAAATGGTAAACGTAACTCTTTGAACTCGGCTTCGTGCTCCGTTTCCGTTTCCGCTGCCGCTTCTGTGTTCCCTTTCCGTTCTGGGCCCCTTAATCGGGCTAATCTTTTACGCTGCCTGCATTCTAAAGTGTCCTGGTCCCGCATCCTGCTGCACTTCGCATGCCTGCTTGCGCCTCCTCTCATGTGTGAGCTCTCGCCGTAATTAAATGCAAGTCGCGGCAAAATAAACATTCAACATTTAACATTCATTTCTGCATTTAACCCAAGGTGAACCTGTGATTCCTGCTTTGTTTGCCAGACGCCCATAGTTTGACCAGACATTTAACGCTTCCCTGAACCTCAACCGCAGTGGCTACATTTTTAATCTACAATTAACCACAGCTGCGGCAGAGCAGGAGCCGGAGCCGGGCACCCAGTATCAATATTGATTCTATTAATTATAAAAACATTAAGTGCCGGCCAACAAATGTAATTAAACGCGTTAAACAATTGCAGAGCGCGAGTAATGGCAGAAAAATGCCGCCACCTTTGCCAATTCCAATCCCAATCCGGATTCAATCCCAGAGTCCGGTGAGTTCATTGCTGATGCGCCACGATAAGCACGTTTTCAATTCGCACACAGAACCAGGAACAGGAGCTGGAACAGGAGTAGGAGCAGGAGCAGGAGCAGGGACTGGAGCAGGTGGAAGCCGGCGGGAAGGAGGTGATCGGATTGTCGCACATTAATGACGAAATTATTGTTTCAATTGCTTTCAACCGTTGTCAATGCAAATTTTATGCAAATACTTTAGCGTTGCCCGGTCACAGGGAGAGCTCTCTCCGGCCAATAAGTCAATAATAATTATTGGCCTGCCCGTCCGTCCGTCCGTCCGCCCTCCCACTGGCCATTGTTCGTGCTCCTCCTCTGGCCCCACGGGCCGTATCGAACTCCTGCGCCGTGACCATTTTGGAATAGGCGTTAATTACTTTTATCTGCACATGACCAAACAAACGAAATAATAAAACTGCAGCGGCAACGTTTAACGCCTGCGGTCCATAAATTCCCCCAGGCACATAAATACATACATACATACACATTTATTTATAAACAATTATTATTATTGCCCCGGCGCTTTGGCCGAGCTGAGCATAAATTAAGCCCCTCGATTGTTATGCAAAATCGTTTGGGGTTTATCGCGTATTTGGGTTCACCGGGACAAAGGTCGAGAGCCTTTCCACATATTTGCAAGTATTTATGTTTCATTTCGTTTAAGGAATTCGTTAAAAAATTATACAAGTAGCAGCATCTTAATGAGTTCTTATAATTTTAACAAATGGGTGTCTAGATTGCATGGGCTGTTGAGGCTGCGAACAAGGATAATTTGTATCCATATCCAGTTTTCTTGCATTTTCCATTAAAAAAATAAAACAAAATGCATACTCTAAGTAGTTTACAATTTAAACAAATTGGTGTTTAGATCGCATCGGCTGTTGATGCTGAAAAGAAGAATAATTATTTTCAAATTCCAGTTTTCTTGCATTTTGCCCTGCCACTAGAAAATATTCCCAGCTAATTTACGCCAAAAATTGGGGATTAAGCTGTTGAGGTCCGAAATGGGACAGAAAGGACTCGCTGGCAGGGGGCTAGGGAAGGACTGGGACGGGGCTCACTCCCAGGGATGCGCGACATCCCATCGCTGCTGACTGGGGTCATATAATATAATTAATGCTATGAATTACTTGAGAGCTCCGCATCCTGCCTGCGGGACCTATGCGGGACCCATGTCACGCCGTGTCCTTGTCCCTGGGTCCCTGCCTCTAGCCCGGCCGCAAAGGGTCAGTGCCGGACTGTTGCTGCTGCTGCTGCCGGGTTATCCTGGCTGCGAGTGCTCCAACACGTTGCTGCTTGGTCAGCCACATGCACTTAATTGCTTTATGAGGCGGTCACTCGCTTGTTATAGACTTCAATTTGATTTTTCTGCAAGGATGCGAGGCGGCCAGGATGTGTGTGTGTGTGTGTGCGTGTTTGCCCGGGAAACGAGGCACTGGGGATCAATTATTTTGCGGGGAGGCTGGCATTCCTGCATGGCCGCAGGCCAGAGACGTCGGCAACGGAGGAGCAGCCATTGACCCCAAATGATATTTTAAATGCAGATTTTTGGCAGCCAAAAGTTTTTTAATCATTCCAATGGCACTCTCCATCAGACCCATTACGATGCCTGTCGATGGTAATGATAATTGTGAACGATACAGGATGCGGGAGACAGGATGCTGGAAACACGTCGGCAGCGCCCAACTTTTTAATGCCAGTTCCGCGCACTTTTCCGCCAAGGTGTGAAAAGAAATTGAGCCTGGGCGGGAGCAGAGAGTATCCATCCTCGCAGCACCCCAAAAGGACACCCTCCGTCAGGTGGCGAGAGCTCGGCAAACTTCGCCAGGATGCCCAAGTTCGTAATGGCTTTTTGTTTGCGACTCACGCACACAAATCATCGCCCCGCCAACCCTTACTTACCTGGCGTTGCCAAGGCGAAGGTAAAGTCCTTTCGATACAAGTTTTTCGCAAGCATTCCGTTTATATTTCTTTTTTTCTGCTTCTTCTGCCACATGTCTGCCCCGAATTCCGGACATCCAGATTCCTCTTGAGGGGTAGGCGAACACTTAACATAATTTGCTGGCCCCATGACAATCGCAGACGGCCACTGACCGGTGTCCAGTGTGTCCAGGACAACGGGCATTCGCATTCTGATTATATTAAAATTTTTGCACATCATTTGATTTGATTTTGAGCTGCTGAGCCAAGCTTAGAGCGTGAGTCTTTTGATGCACACAAGCCGGAAAAATTGAAGAAAATGGAATGGGAAATGCCTCATGGCATTGCCATGGTTCGTTCTCTTCTTACTTGGCGGAGCACTTAGACTTGCTGCTACATGGTATTTCCATTTTGGCACTTAAGTCAGCCAAAGTCAATTATAATCAACGCCTCCTTATCCGGCAGCCCCCCTGGAGCAGAAAGGATTAAAAGTCGAGGGGGTGGCGGCGCATATGTGTGAGCCAAACTTGTGCACAAGTGTTTCAAGACTTTGGCTGATTGCCAGGCCGAAGAGAAGAAGCAGCCGCCGGCGATTCTGCAGAGAAGGAGGAGGAGAAGCTGGAGCTGGAGTCACTACGCATCCATCTCTCATTACCCTGCATAAATATGCCACAGAGCCGCCTGGCCAGGATAACTCTTTGGCCTGATAGCCACCGCAAAACTTAATTGCTTAACTCCGGGACTCCTTAATGTGTGTGTGGCAGCTCCACTTGTGCGTCCTTATCGCGGCGTGGCCAAAAAACCATCAGGAGCATCAACTGCAGGAGCTCCCCCCCCTCAGTGCCCAGTTGCAGATCCCCAGATTCGTCCTCGGATTCAGTTTGTGTGTTTCAGCTGCGGTCTGTGGCACGCAAATGATATGCAAACGAGCTTAATATCCGGCCAAACGCAGGCAGGCAGGACTGTGCCAGTGCCAGTGCTCCTGTCCAGGCTCACTCCTTTTTCCTTTCACTTTTTTTTTTGTTTGTTTGCTGCCCTTCCTTGCCCATTTAGCATCAAGTTTCGGCGCATATAACTCACTCTCGGCTGGGACTGATAATTTCCCTGTACTCCACTGATAACAACGTTTAATTTAATGCCCGAGGTCAGCAATATTCCATTTATTATTGGATTAAATTCGGCAGCAAAGTTTTTCCGTTTCGCAGGATAGCGGATGTGGACACGGGAATGGATATGAGGGGGCATTCACTATCAGTGCGAGGCTGCTCGTAAATTGTGAGTGTGTGTTTGCCGGTTGGGGATCTTGTCGAGCCTCGCTGGTATATCCTGGCTCCTACTCCTGACTCCTGACTCCTGGCTCCTGCCTCTGCTGTACTTGTGTGTATTTTTATATGGCACACACTTGTCGCACTTGTCGTCGTTGTCCCTGTCGCTGTTGCTGTTGCTGTCGCTGTCCCGGCCATGTCCTGGCTGCCTGGCTGCCGAGTCCTGTGCCTTGCTAGACTAGACGACAGGAAATGTATTTACAATTTTTTATGTATTGCCTTTTTTCCCCAGCTGCCGTTGCCCCATAAAATTTGCATGACTCGCTGACTGAGTGGCGGTGGACGTGGATGAGGTCCTTGCTCTGGCCAGGACAAAATGCCCATAAGGGATTAGCTGCTGCTGCTGCTGCTGCTGCCGCTGCTGCTGGCTCACTTTTTTCCCTCTCGGAATTTGTTGCAAAACTCATTTAAGCCAAGTTATGTCGAGTATGTAAATTGTTTTGGCCGCTTTCCGATGGCCATTTTTGCGTTGTTTTGCTTTCTGTTTTCCATGAAACTTAATTGTTTTAGATGCAAAGTCATCAGCAGGAGGCGGTGGGCGGGGCGGCGTGTGGCAAGCAAACAACATAACGGAAGGAAGTATCTCACTCGAATCTCAGTCAACCATAAAGCCCGGCACAGACACACACACGATGAATTTATGCATGAAATTGTCGACGCCCGCGTCCTGTTCCCGCAGCGCCGCTCCGCTTTTTCGGGATGTCTGTGGCCTATCGAAAGGAAATTGAAACAAAACCTCATTGCAAACAGTTGGGCAGGGGCAGGGGCAGGGGCAGTGGGGTAGCTACTCTGTTGCAGGCAGACATCGCAGGACACTTTTTGCCCGGACTGATAACAGTGCTCTCGTCTGTGCTCCACCGTCTCCTGCCCCCTGCCCAGTTTCAACTCTCCGCCTCCTGGCCCTG